ATAAAATGGGTAATATCTGTACTTAGTGTACAACCAGAAGTTTATTCCTTCTGATTAAAGTTATAACGATATAAATTAAAAATCAAGGATTTCTCCCACACCGAGTCATATACGACAAATATATGTAGTCTTCAACCAATATCCGGCGTGAAAATTCCAAACTAATATTGGCAAACGCTTTCGATGCCCCTCCTGGGCTCTTCTTCAGGCCAAATTTAATGTACTGGATTCTTAAATTGAATATTTTAAAATAAGAACGTGCTCTGTTACTAGAAGTTCAAATAAAGAAGGTAATCACGTGCCTTTCCGAATTATAATTTCTTTATCATTTATATTAGTGGAGATATGTTGTGCGCATCTTATAAAATCTTGCGTATTTTTTTAATCACGTACCGTTTCTAAAAATAATTTTAACTAGTGGATATACGATGTGCGCATCCCATACAAATCTGGTGTATCGTATAATAAATTACGATTCATCCTCCAATAAATACTGCCACGCTGTTGAGAGATTCATTTCTTCTTTAAGATTGATGCAGGTTAGTTTGCGATCTGCTTTGTAAATTTCCATCGCTTCCAAAGTTCTTAGATGTTCATGATGACGAGTGGTGCGGATGACCAGTGCCTCGTTAAAAATCGGGGTTATGTCTGGGTTTGTTGCATATGTCGACAATGCCGTCGTATATTTGTTGTGGGTGATGTCTGCTTTATGTTCCTTTAGTCTGGTGGCTAACGGATGCTTAGTGGACCCTATGTAAATTAGTTGCCTTTGCCATCTATCGTCCATTAAGGGAATGGTGTATATTTCCGGTAGCCTGTTCGGGTTATGGGCGTCTTTTCCGTTTCTTAATAAATTATATATGGAAGGGTTTCTTCTGTATGTAATTTTAATTCCTTTTTTCTTTGCAATTGAATTATATATCGTTTTCATTTGTGGGTTGTACATTACTGGGACCCTTTCCATACGTTCTTTATCAACTGCTCCTGATGTCTTTTCTTCATCTGTTTTACTGTTTATATGAAGGCACTGATTATATAATTTGTTTATTAAGTTGCCATAACCGTGGTCTTTAGCGACATCTCTAATATACGCTAATTCTTGTTGTAGAGCGTAGATCGTGGAAGAGTGGGAATAGGCTCTTTCTTGAATGCCGCTTTGTATTGTTCTTTCTTTAATTTCAATTTCTATATCCAAGATATAGAAATTGAAATATCTTTAATTTTAATTTCTATATCCAAGATATAGAAATTGAAATTAAAGAAAGAACAATACAAACAAAAGTTTATAGAAAACCCACAACTATACCATCGTACATACCCATCAATTCCTGTGACCCGTACTCTTACAAAATAGCGGCATTCAGGACTTTAGTAGAAAGAGCCTATTCCCACTCTTCCACGACCTACGCTCTACAACAAGAATTAGCGTATATTAGAGATGTCGCTAAAGACCACGGTTATGGCAACTTAATAGACAAATTATATAATCAGTGCCTTCACATAAACAGTAAAACAGATGAAGAAAAGACATCAGGAGCAGTTGATAAAGAACGTATGGAAAGGGTCCCAGTAACGTACAACCCACAAATGAAAACGATATATAATTCAATTGCAAAGAAAAAAGGAATTAAAATTACATACAGAAGAAACCCTTCCATATATAATTTATTAAGAAACGGAAAAGACGCCCATAACCCGAACAGGCTACCGGGAATATACACCATTCCCTTAATGGACGATAGATGGCAAAGGCAAATAATTTACATAGGGTCCACTAAGCATCCGTTAGCCACCAGAATAAAGGAACATAAAGCAGACATCACCCACAACAAATATACGATGGCATTGTCGACATATGCAACAAACCCAGACATAACCCCGATTTTTAACGAGGCACGGGTCATCCGCACCACTCGTCATCATGAACATCTAAGAACTTTGGAAGCGATGGAAATTTACAAAGCAGATCGCAAACTAACCTGCATCAATCTTAAAGAAGAAATGAATCTCTCAACATATCTCCACTAATATAAATGATAAAGAAATTATAATTCGGAAAGGCACGTGATTACCTTCCTTATTTGAACTTCTAGTGAGCCCAGGAGGGGCATCGAAAGCGTTTGCCAATATTAGTTTGGAATTTTCACGCCGGATATTGGTTGAAGACTACATATATTTGTTATAAATTAAAAAATATATGTTTTCCATATTTTCACAAACTATAAACATCAATGTGAAATTTGAGCTTGTTTCCAGTTTCACAAAATGATTAATGTTTGGTTCTAACCCTGTCAGTTCAATACACAGGCTCATCTTACTGCTAGAGCTATGGCTTTCACTTGAGTTACAAGGCCATTATTTTTCCCTGCCATAGCTGCAGTGTCATAAGTGCATAAATCTATATAATCACTCCAAGTTAAGATTTATTATGTCATACAATAAACAAATTTCAAAATCTGATAAAATTACCTTTATTTCAAACTTGCCATTCATGTTAGAGCAGTCTATATCGAAATTATCTGTTTGAGGTATAGTTCAAGACAGTAGCTCCAATTATAAGCATTACTTTATTTATACAGTAGAGTCCCGAAAACTCTGCCTAATGTGGACCAAAGGGTGGACGAGTTTGTGAAAATGCTGGGTTATCAGGAATGGGGTTAAAAAAGAATAAGTACGAGTGTTTCCTCAGAAAATACTGTACTGTACTTCTATGTATTGTTTGCTTGAGAATACAACAGAGAATAAACTGCCCAAATACCCTTAAACAAAGGAAAAGTATGTACTTTATGAAGGCATAGAGCCTTTACTACATGAAAATGAAAATTAATGAATACACAGTGTACAGTAATTTACCTGATAAGACAGATCTCAGAAAAATACTTTGAGGCATAAAGCTGTTTATAATGAAAATTAACTAGGGGTTTTTTTGTCCTGCCAGGGTGTGGCTGAGTTATCCAGACTGCCGGATTATTGAGTGCTGAGTTTTCGGGGCTCTACTGTATCAACAATTGTAAATTCCTCAGTCAAGTTCTTACTATCTTTGACAATTATTAATTGTTTCAAAATTTGAATAGACACAGGGTAAGTTGCCATGTGATTTGCCAATTGAGCTAATTTTGAAGAAAATTTTTGACTGTTTTTATGCCAACGTCACAATGTTGTTTTTATGCCAACGTCACAATGCTTATTAAAAACATTTATTTCTGACTTTTTATCCCTTACCTTCAGATTTCTGACATTAAAAGTTGAAGTTTTGTGCTTAAAAGTTTTCTTTGTAACTTAACAATTTGTTTTTTTTTTTTTTTTTTTTTTTTTTTTTATTTTTTTAAATAATGTAAAAAAATGGGTTTAATAAAAAAAAAATTTTTTTTTTTTTTTTTTTTTTTTTTTTTTGCAACTTTAGATAAGTAATGCATAAGCCTTGGTTGATTTCTGGCAACATGCTGTGAATGTGGCAGCTAGCAGAGCCATTATGAATGGTTTACAACAGAAATGTGAAGAAATTAAACAAGTGTCATATATTTTACTTTTTTCATACTTTAAGAAAGTTCATTTCTAAATGCATTTTATACTTGTAAAGTTGTGACTGATCAGTTGTTGTTATTCTCCATACAGCGGCTTACCCAGGATCTAAACTAGAGTGGGGCAACTCATAGTTTCTTTGAGTACAAGAATAGCAGTGAACAGTGAAATAGTTCTAAGATTTCATGACAGATGGCTCTAGGCTCTAATCTAGTCATAATATTTGTTATTCAAACTGATACTAAATTCATATGTCTGGGCTGTGTGTGTCAATTACTACACTTTAATTTTTATTCTAGGGAGGGGCAGCTGCTCCTCATTGGGTACACCCTTATCTCCATATATAGAATTGTTCTTATATCAAACACACAAAATATTGTATCCACAAATTCATTAATTAGAAAATTTTCCATATAGTCAAAAAATTTGTTATTTTTAATTTTAATTTATGCTGGAATAACTGGATTGAAGTCATTCAGTTTTTTTTTATGTTCAATATGTATCAATATTCCAGCATAAATCTCTTGCTTAAATCTCGTGCTAGTGCCTGTTTATAGAAAGAGTGTTGTCATTTTGTATTTTATTTTGACTTGGTTCTCTGTCCTCAGAGTATCTACAAGTCTGGTTTCTTTTATGCGTGCATGATTTAGGCACATAATACTGTGTCAAATTGCTACTCCTGACATGTACTCCTTCATATCTCTAATACTACGGTTTCTGTGGATGCGAATTCTGACGAGTACATCCGAAATCCTAGTCAGAACAAGGTGGGTACACATCAGAAAATGTGCACAGTGGTGCACGTTTTCTGATAGTCAGTACGTTTCTGCCTTCCAGCAAAATGGACGAACTTGATGAGTTTTATTTTCTTGAAAGTCCGTTGATTAAGTTTTTGTTGATAGGTGGTGGGAAAACAGAGCATGTTAACCACTTATTTTCCACAAGAGACAATAAGAGAGAGTTCCAAATGTTACATCAAGATTTGTGGAACAACCCGCAAAAGTTTTTCGAGTATTTCTGAATGAGAGATGTCTCTGCCGAGAAATATCTCTGTTGTGATAGTTTTTGTCTTTCCTGTCCCACAAACACCTATTCTTGAACACAAAACTAAAACTAATTAATTTATCAATATCCATGTTGAAAAAACCAAAACACTCAAAATTCAACATCAGAACGCACGAAAAAATCAAACTCATTTGAATGCTCAAATGGTTCTGACTACATCGTGCATGTTCTGACATGCCCTTTGTTGCTAAAGTAAACACTGTCATTGGAAAACAGGTATTTGTTTGTTTGGACTGTAAACTCGTCAGAACAAGATTTCATCACAATTCACATCCACAGTAACCGTAGCCTAAGCTGGTAAGCTAGGACAGCACTGCACTTTTATAAACAAGATATAGTCTTGTCTATATGAAATTACAAAATATTTGTATATTTTAAATTATAAACTGATTATTTGTAAAATTTATTTTTAGGAGATGAATATCAATTCATAGATCCAACATTAAAGATCTCCAAAATAGCACCAAAATCATGGAAAGCACAACATGGTTATGTAAGTTGCTATTACTTGTTTTTGATATTAATACAGAACTAAAACTTGATCTGTGGCAAATATCCATAATTCTTGACTTTTTTTACATACCTTCACTGTGATAAATATCTAATTAATAAATTTATTAACATATATTAATTATATTTCTGTTTTATTTAAATCTTATTGATTTTTAAATGAAACAGAAATATTTTAATTTATTCTAACTACAGAAATGTGTAAATTTCAATTTAAAATAATGGAGCTTTCTAAGTAGCAAGAAGATAAGTAAGTAAGTCAATGGTATAATTCATTTTATATGAAATGAATTATGTCATTAGTTTGATTACTTAGTTGCTTGTTGCTTAGGATCACCCAATATCAACAGATAGATTACAGTTTTTATGATTTTAAATAAAACAACTAAACATATTTACTTTTTAGATATTTCCGTAACCAAAACTGATAAACCATCTTTTAGAAAATCAAAATGGATAATCCCAGCTGTCTAAAATAGCTTTTTACTTTATTATAAATATATGCTTATTATTAGTCAGAAAATACTGTACTGTACTTGTATGTATTGTTTGCTTGAGAATACAACAGAGAATAAACTGCCCAAATACCCTTAAACAAAGGAAAAGTATGTACTTTATGAAGGCATAGAGCCTTTACTANTATATTTGTATTTAAGTATGTATAAAAACTGTCTTTAAGTAAAATAAAAAATATCTCAATTTATTCTGATCAATTAATTATGTGATTTATTATTATTAAGAAGTTATTTGTAAGAAAGTAATTATTTTATTTTCCATAAATTTTGAAAAATTTTACATATATGTTATATATTAATTTGTTTTATTTTTAGGGAGTTGATGATTCTGGAAAACCATTATTAACTCTGCATTTCAAGATTCAATATTATGTAGACTGCCATCTTCTTATCAAGTATACATATACTTTTAAAATTTTTATTTGTTTATTATTATTTATATGATATCAAATAATATAATTTTTATCAAATAATGAAAATTTTGTATTAAAGTCAAATTGGGCTACATTACCACTACTATTAATAATTTTGTATAAGCAAATATTTGCATATATTTGTTGTTTTGCTATTAATAAGTAAAATAATTATTTATCATTGTTTGGTAAATCAATTATAAATAAAGTAAGAGAGAAACAACACTATTAACATATATAAAAGTGAATATAATTTATATTACTAATAACACACCATACAGCTGTAATTTCAATTGTTGCTTTCAAAAAAGTTAATATATTGTTATTTAAAATAACATATTAATTTTTGAATAAAAAATAAGTTTAGCCAGAGGAGTTCCATAAAAACTTGAAAACAATAGCTTATGAAGATTTCAATTTTAATGGACTACAGTTTATATAAAAAATAAAAAAATTATTGATATGCCATTATAAAGACAAAGACTCCAGTAGTTTTAAATCAAGCAGTATAAATTGAAGGAATCAGTCACTTACATTTAAATTCATACTGATTGATTGATTTATTGTTAATTTTAAAATAGTTATTCTAAAATTAATAATCAATTTAAAAATTTTGGACATTTGAAAACAAAACTAAAAGCTTTGATAGTATTTCATTTGAAATATGTATTCTTCAAGGAATGACAATGGTATCTTATGTTGTGATTATTTCCTATTTGTGATTTTAACATTTTAATGATACAAGTTACTACAATGTAATAAATAAATAAAAAGTGATGATCAAATGGTGATTTTAAATGAATAAGTAAATTACTTTTTCATTCTTATTACAGTACATTCCATTTTATTCAAATTAAATTCTCATTCTCAATAGCTTTAGTATTACTATCAATTTCAATTATCTTTTTAATTAATTATACTGTACTAAGTTGAGGCATGGAATAAACTTTGTTAATGGAGTAATGTGATTGTTGGAGTTTGCTAAATATTTTGTAAATATTTTTAATTTTCTTATCCTATTAACTTTTCATAAATATCTTTGTAACAATTTAAAACATCCTTAATTAATTATTAATTCATATGCCTTTATGTCCTTATTTTATACAGTTTGTTATACACCTATAATGTCTTTTAGGACAGATCTTATTAATAGGGCTTATTGTACTGGTGTTCAGTTTCTGCAACTGAGGAAAACTTATTCAGAGGAAACAAACAATCTTTATTGTTCATCTGGTATTTTGCCTGGTGAAATATCAGGCAAAATACCAGATGAACAATAAAGATTGTTTGTTTCCTCTGAATAAGTTTTCCTCAGTTGCAGAAACTGAACACCAGTACAATAAGCCCTATTAATAAGATCTGTCCTAGTAGACATTTTATATAACAAATTCTTATTTAATTTTTTGACTTAATCCTTTGATAATTGTTGATTTTTAATTGTTCAAAATGATTATCAAATTTAAAAATAATCCACATCAAGAACTATTATTAGGATTGCTATATTTCTAGTTAGGTTGAAGTCTCTCATAAAGATGCTATTTGAATTTATAGTTTGTCATAAGTTTGCTGATTCTGATTGCTAGCAGATGTAAATACTCAAAAATGCTTATTAGACTTTTAAATGCTTTACAAATACAAGGCATTGTAGAATAATGGTCATTAAATAAGATACAACTGTGTAATTATCTAATACAGAAATACCCTGAACTTACGTGATAGGTGGGACCAAGCGATAACCGCTTAAGTCAAATTCACATAAGTTGGGATAAAATTTTGCATATAAATACATACAAATTATCTTTAATTGGGGCCGGAGACTAAAGAAAACAATAATTTGGAAAAAAATGTTTAATAAAATCTTAGATAATACACGTGTATAACAAATTATATTATTAAAATCGTAAATCAAAGTTATTTTGATGTAGAAGGCTTCATAAAATGTAACAAATTCGTCTGTAGGCTCAAAGATTTTTTTTTCTCAAAATTTTCTCATAGCATGCTAATAATTTTTTTAATTTCTCGTTTTGAAGAAGAAATGCACTCTTCATTGGAGTCTATATTTTCTAAAATTTGTGATCCCTTTTCAATTGAACTGAGGCCTTCTGTCAAGTTTCCAACCATCATTCGATCTTCTGATTGAACTGAGTCTAAAGAATTAAGTTCTTCAATGTCTTGCTCTTGCTCATGCATTTCCATAAGCTCATCAATTGTCAGCTCCTGATTGTGGGAATCAAGCATTTCTTGAAAGTCATCACTATCCACTTCTAAATTTATTTGCCTGGCAAGATTGGCAACTTCTTCAATCACATTACCAATTTCATCAGGCTCTGGCACTGATTTTGCCTGAGTTTTAGTGGTGAAAAAAAAAGGACACAGTTTTTTCCAAACGCCATTTAAAGTTTTTTGTGAAACTTCATTCCAAGATTGTCCAATGATTCTCACTGCATCTAAAACATTGAATTGTTTCCAAAAGTCTTTAACAGAGAGCTCGTTGTTTTGTCTCATAGCTTCATGCAGATGTGAAAATGATCGTCTCGTGTAATAAGCTTTGAATGTTTTGATCACTCCCTGATCCATCAGTTGAAGCAAGCTGGTTGTATTTGGTGGTAAAAATACAACTTTCACATGTGGGTCAAAATTAGTTAAAGTTGCAGGGGGATGACCTGGTGCGTTGTCGATTATTAGCATCACTTTAAATGGAATTTGTTTAACAATAACATTCGACTTCAGGTATGAAGTGATGACCAAACCAGTCCTCAAAAAGGGAAGTTGTCATCCAAGCTTTACAATTCGACTTCCAAATCATAGGCAAGCCAGCTTTAGATTTCTTTTCAATGCTTTTGGATTTTCTGAGTGATAAACTAAGAGAGGTTTTAACTTACAATCACCAGCTGCATTCGCGCCAACCATCACTGTCAATCAATCTTTGGCGGCTTTAAAACCTGGAAAGGTCTTCTCTTCATGCGTGACAAAAGTTCTTATTATATTTGTCAACTTGGACTTAAATTATTAATAGGACAGTTAAACTGGTGTTAAGTATTAACACAAAATTCAGCAAAAGTTCTCAAAGAAAACAGACTTTCTTTAAGAGACTCAATAAAGAAAGTCTGTTTTCTTTGAGAACTTTTGCTGAATTTTGTGTTAATACTTAACAACAGTTTAACAGTCCTATTAATAATTTAAGTCCAAGTTGACAAATATAATAAGTATTGAAATAAGGACAATAAGGCAATAATAATTATAGTGATAAAAGTTCTTTTAGGCATCTTCTTCCAGAACAGGCCAGTCTCATCCACATTGAATATGGTTTGGCTGGTATAGCCACCTTCATCTATCATAACTTTGAATTTCTCTGGATAGTAAGACGCAGCCTCTTTATCAGCACTTGTTGCCTCTCCACTTTCTGCAATGCTATGCCAATTAGCGACTTTTAAATCAGCTGAACCAACCATTACTAACTTCACTCTTCTTAACTTAAACTCTTCATCTTTAGCCACCTCTCCAGCATCCTCTCTTTCAATCTCTCAAAAATCAGCTTAGCTTGAGAGCACATTGTGTTCTGATCAACAAGACAATTTTTCACATTTACTTGATTATCACACCATAATTTTAACATTGTTTCCATCTCAGCAATAATACCCTGACATTTACGAATGATGCTTAAATTTAAAGATTATTAAAATTATTATTATTAAAATATTATTATTATTATTATTATTATTAAATTTAAAGATTGAGCATTTTTCACAGCTTCAAGAATTTTTTCTTTACCTTTTATAATTGTTCTGACCGTTGATTCTGGTAAATCAAACTTCTTTGCTAATTCACAAATTTTCATTTTTGTATTGAAGTCTTTAATAATGTTAACTTTACATTCCAAAGATAAATTTTTTTTTCTTGTTTGATACAGAAGAATCAATTCTACTTCATTTGGATGACATAGTAGAATCTCTCAAATCTCCGTAGATATAACAAACATAGAAATAAATAACACAAAATAAATTGTAGCTTTGGTCAATTCCACACGACACGTTCGAACATGTAAGCTGAACAATAGTGTGGGGGGAGTGAGTAATCAAGAGTTGCATGGCGCTCAAACAAAAGATGAATTGACGAGATTTCAAGATTTGAAAGTCACATAACTCCGGGTTTGCGTAAGTTAGGGTAGCATAAGTCAAGGTATTACTGTATATTAGTACAGTGGAACCTTGCTTAATGAGCATAATTCGTTCCAGAATTTTACTCGTAATGCGAAACAATTTTTTCCATAGAAATTAATGTAAAATACGATAATGCATTCCATGCTGAAAAAGTACTCCAATATTTTATGTATGACATTTATTCAAAGAAAATTACATAATATACATTGTTAAGAAGTGTGAATCAATCTAACATTTTCTTCTAGCACGGAATGAACCAATATGGAATGTGAATTCAATTTACAGAAAACAAAAAAAAATCACGGCTAATATGTCTGATAAACACATTAAACGATATGCCAAATTCTTGGGCTATGTAAAGGCTATAATTAAATATTAGAAATTAATTAATTGACTAGAGGTAGGCAGTTATGTTGCTATCTCGTATTAAATTTAATAATTATAAATAATTAATTTCTAATTTAGTCATTTCTAAAATTTAATTTGGAATTGGTCATTAAATTTAATACAAGATGGCATGTTTATTATATAATGGGCTATGATTGTCGATGTTTATATGTAATATGTGTGAACACAAGTTTGGAAAAATGTGTGATCATGAGCAACACTAAGATGCTAGCGGAATGAGGGCTAAACACAGACTGATGGAACATGCGCACAATCTGGAATTTCTCCTTTCCTTGTTACTTGTTATGCGAAACATCACTCATTAAACAAGTCAAATTTTTACAATTTGTTTTGCTTGTTATGCGAAGTACTCGTTATGTAAGGTTCCACTATATAATAATCACAACATTATCAAACTTGAAAAGTTAAAAGAAGCCTGTATGTAATAAAAATAAAATTCTTTTATCCAGATTAACAGAGAGTTTTTCATTTAAATCAAACTGAACAAAATTTCAATTAAATTATTTCAAATTTTATTATTTGGAAAACAGTTTCTGACTGATAGATAAATAAATAATATACATTTAAATCAATTTTAATTATAATAGTCAAATAATAAAAAATAAAATAAATTTTAAAATTATTATATTTATATTATTATATTATAAATTAATATATATATATATTAATTTTAACTATGACAGTAAAAATATAATAATTTAAAATTCTTTTAATATATATATGTATTATAATTGACGAAACTATGTCTCATCTTTAAAATTGCACTGCTGTCAACGGCTGCACACCTTAGAGGTATGAAGGAGTACACGTCAGGAGTTGCAATTTGGCACAGAGTATTTGGTGCCCAAATCATATGCACATAAAATAAACTAGACTTGTAGGTAGTCAGAGGACCAAGAACCAGGTCAAAAGAAAATATGAAATGCTGAGACTGTTTCTACAAACAGGTGCGATTGCGAGATTTGTGCATGAATTGCTTGTGCTCTCCGAGACATAGCCTTGTCTTAAAAATGGCTTTGCCATTTTACTTGTTTTCTATGTATTTTTATCTCTAAACTATTACCACAATTTGAATTATTTATTTGAATTAATTTTCACTTGTAAGGATCATCGTTCTTCTGTTTGATTTAACTGAAATAATTTTTAACACTGTCTATCTGGATAAAAGAATCTTGTTTTTATTAAATGTGTGTTTCTTAACATTGAAATTAACTATTACTACAGGCAATCCTTGTACAATGCAGGTTTACAAATTGTAGCAATCCTTGTATAACATGGTACTTATGCAGTGTAATTTCAATTTGAGAGTTCATATGAAATTATGTTTATTTTATTCTACTAAATGTTCTTGCAGTTACTACAACAAAGTTTGCCAATGTAGATCGTGTACTTCCCCCGTATGGTGAAAACACTGTTCTCTGTGATGATGATAGCTTCTTACTTTTTATGGCAATCCTGTGAGAAAATTAAAAAAAATCTATTATGGGCTAACTTAGTATGCAATTTTTTATACCAAAAATTCTCTTTGGTATTTTGTGTGTAAGCTGAATGCTGCTTATAATTTTCTTTTTCAGTTGTTTTCCTGAAAATAGCAGTTTATTAGATACAAGTTAGTTAAAGTCATAAGTGCATAGCAATGAAAGTTTGTTATTTACAATTCTTTTAGTTTACAAATTTTAATAAGTTTGTTTTTGTTAAAAGGAATTTTCTGAANGATAGTAATTATTTGTATTTCTTTAAACACATTATTACTAGTTATTATTTGCAAATAATAATTTCATATTATATTAACTTTACATATCTTACAACAAAAGACAAGTAAAAGTTATATTTAAATGATGTTTAATAATAGTTGTTTTTATTTATTTATAGTGATAAAATAACAAGGCACTTCTACTATCTGCAATTATTACAAAATGTAATAAACTACTCACAATCTCTTAGCAAAGAAAGAGCACTCTTGCTTACAGCTTATGCACTTCAAGCTGATTTTGGAAATTATAATAGAGATAGACATAAAGATAAATATTTTGATCCTAAAAAATATTTTCCAGAAAGAGTAAGTTGTTTATTATCAAAAGTTTTAGTATTTATTGTATTACAAATTAAAGATTATAGTTACTATAATAGTTATGATTACTTTCTCACTGTTATCAACATACGAATTATATTATACAGTCGATCCCCCTATAACGCGGTAGATACGTTTCGCTTTATAAGAATTTTGCATTGTAGGAATCCTTAAATACATGAGCCAATCACAGCCTGGCACATGTGCAGTTTACAGACTACAGCTGTTTTAAAGGTTTTCTTCCATAAAATTAATCGATTCTAAACTAATTTGACTCAACATTTCCAAAACATGTATAATTTTTTGGGAATAATTCGTATAAACTATGCTATAAACAAAAAATTGTAGGATTACTTACCGAGTGTGCACCATTCAACGACACCATTGCTTAAGCTTGTTTTCTTCGCGGAGCAGCACACCAAACGGCGAGCATGTTTTCTGATAAGTTATTTTTCTGCGAAAAATTCGTTGAACTTTGGAGACATCATTAATAGAAATAATTTTTATTGCTGTTGAATAAGAAATGTTTTTTTCACAAGAAATGTATAAAATTATAGTACTGTATTAAACTTACAGTACCTAATTTAGGCCTATATACTGTACAGATGATAGTAAACTCAACTTATCTGCCTAAACTCTCCATAGCGTGTAAGTAGTTCGGCTGCTTGTCCACTATTGGTCCAGATTCAACCAATTCTGTCGCAACACGAGTCAGCGATGACGTTTTACCACATTTTATGAGTCGCTTTTAGCGTCTTTATACGAATATGGTCGCGATCTTTTCGCCGCGATATACGAATCCACATTATACGAACCCACATTATAGGGGGGTCTACTGTATATATTTTTCATCCATATTAATAAATTTTTCTTGAATTTCAACTTTCAACATTTGAAAGTTTTTCTTATATGAATGCAGTTTAGTTCTTTATGAACAAAACTATTTTCACAAATAGTTGATTATAAAATAAAATACATGGTTGTTTAGGAAAAAAATTGTTAATATAGCAAAATTTAAAGTTTTTCATAGATTTAAAATTAATACAACTATTATTTGTTTTTAATGAATTAAAATATTTTGATGCAAATTCAGAAATTAAAATTTTATTATAGAAACTTATATTGATGTTTTAACATTTTTGTCATATTTCAAAAATATACAGTAGATCCCCCTATAAAACCGTTTCCTATAGTTATGATTCCTATAAAAATTGTGGCATTATCCGTAAACAACGGTAAAAATAACTCCTATAATACGTAAAACGTCATCGGGCAGCCGAACTACTTACCCGCCGTCCGTAGCGCCACGCTACGGAGAGATTTCTATCGTCTGGACAGTATTATATAAATTATATATAAATTAGGTACTGTACATATAATTATATATTAATTATATATAAATTAGGTACTGTATATATAATTATATATTAACTTAATTTATTGTAACTTTATTATAATTAAATATATATTTTTCGCCGTCTAGCGTCACGCTACGGCGAGTTAGGCGACCTATCGTCTGTTTAGTACTGTAATTTTATACATTTCTTGTGAAAGAAACATTTCTTATTTAACGGCCATAAAAATTATTTATATTAATGATGTCTCCAAAGGTCAACGAAGTTTTCGCAGAAAAATAATATCAGAAATCGCGGCCGCAATTTGATGCGCTGTTCCGCGACGAAACCAAGCTTTAGCAACGAGCGTAGTCAAAGGGTACACACTCGGTAAGTAATCCTACAATTTTTTGTTTATAACGTAGTTTATACGGATTATTTTAAAAAAAATATACGTATTTTGGAAATGTTGAGTCGAATTAGTCTAGAATCGATTAATTTTATGAAAGAAAACCTTTCAAACAGCCGTAGTCCGTAAACTATGATTCCTACAAAATTGATTCATAAAGAACGGAACGTATCTACCGTCTTATAGGGGGATCTACTGTACTGTAATTTTGTTTGGATAACACATGACATATAACCCATAATGTATTAGTTCTCTAGAAAATTGCAAGAGCAAAAATTAAACCTTCGTATAATTTGCCTGATTGTATACTCCGTGCCTCCAGAGCAGCCATTGAAAGCAAGAGAATTACTACAGTTTAGAAGTTGTCATCTCAAGCATTAGAATAGTGGTTCTTCTGTTTCATTTCTGTTAAAAAATCATTGTAGATATACATAAAACAGCCAAGTCCAAAAGTTCTATAATAATCATATTAATTTCTGGATTTCAGACTATAGTTTGACTATTAATAATTAATATAAAATAAATTTTTCTAAAGGTAGGTGTTGATCACTATCTTATATTAATATTAACTAATAATTACAATAATTTTTGGATTAAATTTAATAATTTTATTTAATAACTATTAAATTTAATTCAAAATAATAATTAACAAAATCAAAACTAAAGATGACATAATCTTTTTGTTTTATTTTTTAAACTATAATGTAGAAATCTGTTCTACATTAATTAAACTGACATTTGTCTAAAATGTAAAATATTAAATAACTTTCAGTCTGAGTTTGCATTAGCAAAGATAATAGCTTCGTACAGTGGCATAAATACACAATCATACTTTAGTGTATTATCTTTTTTCTAATATGCATTTGAAGATGCTTTATTTGTATTGTATAGTACTTACACTTAACAGGGAATTTGCTATTGAGAAATTCAGAAATTCACCCCTTTACTCGTAGGCCACTTTTGTAATTTAATTGCAGCTGTTTATGAACTGCCCCAATTGAGCCGTTCACAAGCCAAATCGATTAACTCCATTTGTAAATCCTTAATATAATCATTATTATTTTTACATTTTTTGCATAACTAATTTTGTATATCATTAAGTAAAGCTATGCTTTAATATAACAGTATATAAAAATACATTCTACAATGTTTATTTAAATTTAAAGTTTAAAAAGAATTTTAAAAAATCATTTATATTATCAATTTTCATACTTTTTGTTTTATGAAGTTAATCGATTTGGCAAGTGAGCAGCTCAATTACGTAAATTAAGTGTAAAATAAATAAACAAGAAACATCGTTTTTATTTTATGACTAATTTCCATTGTCTAGTAATAATAATAAAATAAACTTGGAAAAAATTAAATAGATGAATTATATAGAAAATAATGTTTCCTCTTTAAAATATCATTCGAGAACGTCGTTGTTCTATTTGATTCGTGTTTAAATAGAAGATACTTTTATTAATATTAAAACTATGGGGCTGGAATTTGAAAAACTGTAGACCTATAAATTCTTACTGTCATTCATCTGTCTTTCCTTAATCTCAAGAACAATGTTAGATAAATGAAATTCAAGACCAGATATGGAAAGCTTAGGGGCAGGAGGTCCTGATTAACTATATATGAACTTCTGATACAAACTGGAAATCACATTATTTCAATTCAAAAAGTATCCCCTGAAAGGAATTGGATAGATGACTGGCATGAATCCATTGCTGACAGAAAAGTATGATGTACAAGACAAGACACATCAGTACTAATTTGAGGTGGAGAGCATATATTTTAAATGAAATAAATTAAAAATATGATTAAAAATTACAGCCCAGCATTATGATCATGTCACAATAAATAATTGCTCATTTTTTAATCATAAATAATAATTGCACACAATTTGTCTGTATCTTAATTGCAAGTTTTTATTTAAAAAAAATCTCAATCCATCAAAATAGGTCAGGTTTGTAAAAATAGTGGGGAGTATAGTTAAACATTTTGTATCAATTTTTGTGGATATATGAATAGATAATTGTTAGTCTGGTGGATTGATTGCCTACCATTATCCTAACTGATCAGTGTCAAGCAACCAAGCCTGTCATACAGTATGAATCAATTTTAACTCATGACTGAAGTTTAAAATTGGCATATAACTCACTCCATTGCATAACCTGCACCCCCTTTCAAATTATCTTTCAACACCAATAATCTGTAGGTTATCCACCTGAAATTATGGTAATGTAACTCTAATAAAAATTTCAAGAGAGGTGATTGCCCTATTGCCCTTCTGGATTCACTGGTGAGAACAGTGTTTTATAACTATTTTTAGTTCATATAATTTTATTTAATATTTTGAAATATAAGATTTCAGAAAAATATTAAAGTCTTAATTTAGAAACAATATTATAAGTCATTTTGTTTATTAGTTAGCACTGATTAAAGATTATCTATAATTAAACACAAGAAATAATGAAAAATAAAAAGTCCCTCATTAAAATTTATGGACATATTATGCAATGCAGTTTGTCTTCTCTAATAATTTGTTTTTAACTGATTTGCTTAAAACTACAAGGGTCGTACTAAAAGTCATGAGCAACAATTTTTTATATATCAGATTAATTTATTTTTGGAAAAACAAATACATCAAATTATTTTTCAGACTTTTCTTTATTTTTCCATGTAGTCTCCAATTTTTTGGATACATTTTTCCTGCTCTTGTGGGAATGTGAAAATTCCCTTATGATAGAACTCCATTTCAGCAATGTGAAAAACTGATATACTGCTTTCTTGATGTCCACCACCACTTTGTAGCATTGGCCTTGTATATTTTCCTTTGTAGCACCAAAAAGATGATAATTGGTGCTAAATTGGGGCTTTAGGCAGAAAAACTTCCTACCCCATTTTCTGAATTTACTCCATGGTGTAATGAGCAGTGTGGGACCTCACATTGTGCTGCAGGATGATCCTCTTTCCAGGACATTTATTACACAATGCATGACAGAGCTTATGAAGTGTCATGACATACTTAGCAGCATTAATGGTTTGCCCAAGTTCAAGAAATTCTACCAAAATCATCCAATCTGCATCCCAGAAAACATACCCCATAACTTTTCCAACTGATGTCACTGTCTTTGTCTTCTTTTTTGTAGGAAATTGAGGTGGTGCCATTCCATACTCTGCCATTTTGTTTTGGGTGCAAATGGTGGAACCAACTTTCATCATCTGTCACAATACTGTACTCAGGAAAAAATCATCTCCTTCGTTTCCATACCTCTTAAGAAGTTCTTGAGTGAAGATTTTTTTCAAGTTTGTTATTGTGAATCAATAAACAGGGAACCCAGCAAGCACACTTTCCAATATCCTAAACTCTTGATCATCTTGATTGCACTGTGATTCCAAGATTTGCTGCAATATCTTTCATTGTTACACATTAGTCTTCCTTAATGATCTCATCCACTCTTTCCTTGTTGCATTTGTTAGATGCAGACAGCTGCTATGAGGCTGATCTTCTAAGCTTGTGTTTCCATCTTTAAAATGTTTCACCCATCTTCTAACACTGCTGGAGCCCATGCGCACATCTTCATATGCATTCCAAAGTCTCTGGTGAATTTCTGCAGTGGAGATTCCTTCTTTAACAAGAAATTCAATCACAGCATGCTGGCAAAACAAAACAATTGCAGCCTTTTTTTATTGGATGTCTGTGAACATGCAATGGAAGCTAATAATGTCATTACTTGCTCGTGGCACTGTCTATAGTCTATAGAATATAACAATTTTCTTAGTTTTATGTAATTAATAGATTGTGATTTATAAAAAAATTGTTGGTCATGACTTTCATGACCTACATATTATATTTCTATGCAAAAAGAAGTTTTTAGATATTTATTTTTAATTAATAGTATTTGATTATACAAAATGTAATGATGAAATATAACAAATTTATTAGTAATTATAGTATATTTTAATAAAAATTAAAATACAGTGAAACCTACATTAATGGACACTCCTGAATAGAGGACACCCCTACTTAATAGACATTTTATCAATCCCCAGACCCTTCAAATAGGACATCTGTAATATTTACTTTATACTCCAAATAACAAATGCCATCATCTATAACCTACCTTATGAAAACATAAAGTTTCACCTTTAATATTCTAAAAGAATTAATTACATATGAAATATTTTAAAACTAAAACAAAGAATCAGTTCAAATACTCCTTCAGAGGACAAATGTTAACCACAGGCATCGAATAAAAACTGGCTTAAAATAGGAATAGGAGAGGAGGTCAGGTTGTAAAAAGCCAAACAGTATTCATTATCTGTTAGAGAAGACTAATCTGGTTAAGTTGTTAATTACCATTTATTCTCATACATACATGTTATTAAACTTCTGTTTTCTTTTTGGAATTAAGCTTACGTTACCAAGAAACCATAAACTTTTTTGAAGTTATTCCTTCATTTGACAAGAGTGGTCAAATGAAGGAATAACTTTAAAGTGGTCAACAAATCACCTTCCTAACACAATCTTTGAATTTTTACCAAATAGACACTGTTGTCTTAACCTTAAAACCATTTCTTTTTCAGTACAGTAGTAATGAAAAAAAAAATTGTTTTAAGGTTAAGATAAGTGTCTATTTGGTAAAAATTCAAAGATTGTGTTAGGAAGGTGATTTGTTGACTACTTTAAAGTGTAGGAAGATATTTAGTTTTCTTGCATTTATGATGTAATTTATGATCTTAACAGCTGTGTGGTGGCTAAAGTAATTTTTAATAAATAATTTATTGAAATGCTCAATAAATTACACGTTTTCAATAACTACAAATTAGACAAATCACTGTATCAATTTTTATTAGTCACTTAGATAATAAATGACATTATAAATGCAAGAATACTGAATCCCTTGAAGGGGCTAGCAAATTGCCTTCTTAACTTGACATTCAAACTCTCATTGCCTAAACTGGCCTTTGTATGATTTGTTCTCTAAACAATTTTATGCTTACTCATAACAATTAGAATAAAAATTCTTTTATCAGTTTTATTAAAGTAACTGTGCTATTGCTTTAAACAATGAATGAAATAGACTGTGAAAAGCAATTGTTGAGAAATGGCTGGAAAATCCAGAAAAACTAAGACATTTCATAGCAGAAAAGTTACAAATTTCCTGAAATATAGTGGAGTGTTAAATCAATATTGTAAGACATTGTCCATTTCTTGAAAGCCTGGTTCTAGTGGAAAATATGGTGCTCACAACTCAAGTAGAAGATAATCATAGTCATTTCCAAAAATCATAGTATGTCAGTGAAAGATGTTACAAAAAAATGAAACTAATCAAACAATAATTCAAAGGACTAAGCAGTGAACAAGTATGAATTCATATAAAAAACAAAAAATACTTAGTGACTGTAAAACAAAAGAAGATAATTAAAACTAGAGCACGAAAATTGTATTCTTTAATTGGCAAGAAGAATGCTTGTTTGGTTTTAGATAGAAAAACATATGTGAAGACTGGATAATAAAACAAGCTGGATAATAAAAAGGCTGGATAATAAAACGAGCCTAGAAGTGTTGAGAAGTCACTCAACACTTCCAGGCTCGTTTTATTATACAATGTTTGAAGAAGTTTTTCCAGAATCTCAAATATCAGTCAATGTCAAAAAGTTTGGCTTGAAATATCTGGTATGACCATCAATTAACAAGTGTGATTCAACCAGATCAGATTGAAAAGTTTTGTCATTTCTGACAAAAGAAAATATCAGTGCTAAAATTTATATTAATGAATCTTTACAAAAGTCTTTTTTCTTAAGAAATCATGATGGCCATACTTTGTTTTTGCTAGTTTTGGTAACAAAACACTATGCAAAATTTATAGTAAGTTAGTTGGAACAGAACAGAATCAATTTTGTACCTAGAGACATGAATCTACCAAACATACCACAATGCTGACTAATAGAAAGATCTTGGTCTCTTGTAAAAAATAAACTAAAAGAAAATAGAACAAACAGCAAAAGACATTAAAGATTTTTCTGTGAAGTGAAAAACAGTAGTCACAATGATTAAAGGAAATACTGCCAAAAATCTTATGAAGAGCTAGAAAACTACAAAAGGAATGGAGAAAAACTTAAGTTAATTATTAACTTATAACTATTTAAAGTCTTAAATATAAAATACATTTATATTTTAAAATACAAACTTTTAAATAAAAATAAAATCTTTCTGATTACATTACAAATAAAACAGTTTTTATCTTTTGTATTTTACAGATTTTTATCATTACAGTCCTTAATTCATGTTAAATGATATCAGTTGACAATATTTCAAATGGTAATGATTGATAAAATTGAACATTTATTGTCATCATTTTAATTATCTTAATTCAAATCATTTTAGTTTAATTAATTCCAATTGTGCTATTTAAAATGGCATCAACTAATATTTTTATTAAGGTTTAATCTTATTTTCAACAATATACTGTACATACCATAAGAACTTTTTAACCAATACAAAATCAATATTGTTGAGACCTTGTTCTATTTTTTTCTTCTTCTTGAGTTATCTTTCAAGTAAAGCCAAAACATTTGTTTTGTTAAAATTTTTTCATGTCAGTGTATTAGTTTAACTACTGTTTCAGTTTGTTTTCTTTTGATTCTTTTAATATTGAAAAGAAGTTCTGAATGATATTTAATTAAAATTGTATAAATATCACTTTTACATGAAAAAAAAATTATTTTCTTTTTACAATACTTTATATAATTCTAACAAAAACATTTTTTTAATTCTAGATAATACAGAATTTAGGAGAAGAATATATTATTAAACACACACCAGCAATGCATAAAGATAATACGTCACTAAGTCGAGGAGAAGCTCAAGTTATGTACATAAAAGAAGCTTCTGACAGTACAGCTCCTCATAATTTACATTTTTATAAAATGCATAGGAAAAAAACAAAAGCTGATTCAAATGTGTGGTTAGCTATTTGTGCCAAAGGAATTGAAATATATGAGGTATTAGTGATTTAATTTAATATTTATAAAAGCATTATTTTTTTGTTCAATTTTAACTTAATCCTGATATCTGTACAATTTATTTAATTCTAGTTAAATATTATTATGTAATTATTAAGGCTCATCAAAGATATAAAAAGCATTTAAAAGCATTTTTCATTTTTGATAGTGAATATCTTATACATTTTGGAATTATACATAGTAATAGAATTGAAATAACTGTTTGTATTTTGTAAAAAAGAATTAAAAGCATTTTTTTTTAATTTGGAGGAAAATGACAAAATGTAAACAGTGGCGTAGCATGGGTGTCAGCCCTCCTTATTTAGGTATCTCAATTTAAAAGACTAAAATTCAGTTTGGTCACAGAATAAGTAATGAAAAATTCCATGCTAGTGTTGTCACCTTTTTAAAATTGCCGACTCTGACCGCAGGTGAGGTTTGTTCAAAACAGAAGTTCCTGATGCATGCGTATATCATTTTGCAATGAAGAATAATTTGCAGTGCATGCCGGTTCTAAATCAGTTACAGTTAGTGACTAGGGAGACTTGGGTAGGAGTAATGCAAGTAATGTAGATGACATAGCCCTATTGGATATTGCAGATGTATATGAGCATGAATGAATCGTACAAGCAAAATAAAAAAAAAAAAAAGGTCAACAGGTTGCACAAGATATCCCCGGATGGCGAGTCAGGTGGTAACACTATTCCCCCTGCTATTCCGTGCTCATTTGAATCGGTCTGAATCATAGGTGCATGAAAATATGAAATAAGATGGTTCAAATTCTTACAAGATATTATTGTTATTTATTGTCAAATTTTTCTGCCCCCTAAAAGTGCCGCCCCCACATGCTACAGTACTGAATGTAAACCTTGTATCAAGTGACTGTTACATATGAAACCTTTAATGAAAGAAAGCTGAAATTGAAACCAAAATGAAAACTTCTTGTTTACTAGGGTATAAGTTTAGGCAAATTTGTGAGTTATAGATTGCTTCTTGCAATGCCTAAAATCAGAATATTTTCCTGTGACCAATTTCACAAGTTTCCAAATACAGGTTTGGTGGTTGAAAATTCAAAACTTCAAAATGTACTGCACATATTATGCTGTTTATGTATCATTTGAGAAGAAATTCATTGTGAAAAACCTATTTCTTATATGAAGTATATTAAAGCTAGAACTTATACACTACCACAGAAGTAACAGTCTTAAAAAATACTGTTACTTCTGTGGTAGTATATAAGGGATAAAGATGGACTCAAAAGTTAATTTGACTTTTTGTAAGTAGTCTAAACTTCAAATTATGAAGAAAAAGTAAGTTTTCTTAATAATTGATAGTGCTTTGTACTAGCAGAAGATTGAAGGTATTGACAAACTTCTATGGATTTTTGCTAATACTGTAGTAACAAACACTAATAATTGATTATTTTTTAATAGCAGTTTTATAGTTTTGTTTAATATTATGATAAGTTATTACGTCAGTTGTTACTTGAAAGCAACTTTTACTTTAGCTACACACAATAATTAAGATTTGGTAATTTATGACATTTGAATAATAATAATTTTTTATTTTTTATATATTAATGGATTTTTAAGATAAATGAATGAGTTTTATTATATAAAAATAATTTTGAATTTCAGGAAAATAATTTAGGATTAAAGAGCAAACTATCAACATTTTTATGGCCTGATATTGCAAAACTTTATTTTGAAGTAAGTAAATTTCAAATAATTTTATACATTTTTTTAAAAGATACTTATGTGAACCGCTGGGAAGGTCGGGAACCATCGACTCTCCTTTTCGGCTACAGGTCGTTAAACCTGCTCACTTGTCAAGATAGCTAAATTTCGAATGCGGTTCCAAAGGGTTGGGATTCTTTTTGTCAGGTCGAGTGGAGGAGGTGAGAGGGGTCGTCGACGAGGCGTAGGCGATATGCGAGTAAAAGGACACCATTTAACAATGGAAACAACGATTTATTAGAATAACGAAAAATAAAGATTACAAGATTTGCTAGCTCCTAACTCGTGGAGAGAGAGTTTACAATTATTTGTTCCACACCTCTAGTAGATTTCAAAGTAGGCACAGAGTTCGACGCACAAAGTAAAAATTCCTGGAGACTTAATCCTTTCAGACCGTAGACGTGAGACTCCCCCGAGGCGGGGGAAAGAAGTCGCTTTTATAGCTTTGAGCAGGGGAAATTAGTCAGGTGATCCCCTATTGTGTGAGGTAGAGTTGGTCCAGCAGGTGTGGAGGTTAAAGTTGTTCCTGGGACCAAAACAAAATGACGAATTCGGACTTTAACTATAAACTTTTTGTCTTGCAGAAGAGGAATGTCATTGTTCAAGGGTTGAATGTTTATATTAACGATGAAAGTTATAAGTTTCTATCGATATTTGATTCTTTTTTCCGACAATGTTATTTTAACGAGGAGGCGACAAATTTATTTCAAACACGTCAAAAATTTAGGGGGAAAATGAACAATTTTGGGCTTATTCTGAGGTCGAATCTCACACTTTAAATTTACTATTAATTTACAAACACAAATGACCAAATCATTTTTACCAAGCAAGTTTTTCATTTATTTGCTAAATTCTTCCATGGATGTGTTTTGGTTGACACCCTCATCAACATGGCATTCTCCAAGTTTAATCATAGTACAACTGTATTCCAGAACTCATTACCATTTGCCAACATATTCCTATTACCTTCAAAGATTTACATATAAACAGTTTTAATTTTAATTTTTTTAAAATGAATATAGAATCATCAAATAATTATCATAAAGACATAAACCTAAATATATTAGGAATTTCAAAATTATTAGAAATAAAAGTACTCAACATGATTTCAGTAGCTTAGCAAACAGATTTAATAGATAATATCCTCTCTTACAAATTTAAAACCACAACTATGCATTTGCTGACAGAAAATTTTTAATTACTAACGTTTTCAGCTTACTCCTATAGGCCATAATCAGGTTTCTTAAAACTGGTTTTAGGGCCCACTAGTGGCCAAGTGGTTCTGTTCCTTGAACACTGGGAGTTCAGTTGTGGCTTCACACCTCACTCAGACAGATTGGCCACATGGAGTTTTTCAAGTTTTCTCCATGTCTGTAACATCTGAATAGGGGCCAGTTACCCATAAAAAGTCCTCCCAGAAGGCATCTCCCTAGGCATATTGCCCAAGTGTTGCATTGCCATAACTGAACCAAACAATCATAAAACCATTTTTAGAAACTGTTCCACAAATAGAACATTCCATTTAAATTTTAACCTTTGAAGAATTCTGAACACAAATTTAAATTGAAATGAGTTAAATAGTAAATAACTTATGAAAAATTTAAGGTTAACAATAAATAAAAATAAACTAAAAATAAATAAGATATACAAGGTTAACAAAATACAAATAAATATGCGAATAAGAAAAATATATACAAAAAACTATGAGAGTATAACACAAAATCTAAATATTATAGGCAGACCAATAAATACGCGAATAAGAAAATAATATACAAAATANTTAAATTGAAATGAGTTAAATAGTAAATAACTTATGAAAAATTTAAGGTTAACAATAAATAAAAATAAACTAAAAATAAATAAGATATACAAGGTTAACAAAATACAAATAAATATGCGAATAAGAAAAATATATACAAAAAATTATGAGAGTATAACACAAAAGCTAAATGTGATTAAGGGAACACATAATTTAGGGGATTTTATGTCCAAATCTTTCAATGATGTATCGCCAGGCTAAAGGTAATGCATTTGCATCTCTTGCATTCAGGCACTTCTCTGTGATCTTGCTCCTTTAAATCTCTATTTTTTCCATATCCATAGCGATGATTGAGAATGTACCTTTTTAATGATGTTTGCTTCATCCCACTTTAAAACAGAGCCTTCCACCTGTGACATTGCCACTAAACTTGTTTTACTATGATCTTTTTCTACTTGTGTTCTGTGATGTTTCGTTTGAGGGCAATATATTATTGCAGACAGGAAACATATAAAACGAGTAAAAATACAAAATTTTTTTTTATTCATCAAACACAGGTTCTTTAAAATGATTCCAACTTACAGACTATTGGGTTCGTATACATACAATAATCGTCTACACAAACAAGTCTCTATTGTGGCAACCGACACACGACTTATAGCTAAACTTAACCTACTTACAAACTAAGGAAGGAGAAATAAAATATAGATAGGGATAGTAGTAAAATAAAGGAGAAAATACCCGGGAGTTTTCTGCCACGTGGTCTCGGATGATTCACCGTCTTGAAATTCTTAATGACTGCAGACCTTATTTTCTTTCCTCTTATGAATGTCTACGTTTCCTGAAGTTGTCTTGTGGTCTTCCCGCTTGCTGTTACTTGAACATGGGGAACTCTATTTTTTTTTAGAACTGTCCTACGTTTCTCTATAATTCAGCTGTCTTACAAGGTTTTGATACCTCTGATCTCTCACTATGCGATCAGGGTATGATCCTCCTTCAGTTTTCTATCGCAAGGTTTCTTACTCCTTGCTCGACCCCTCGGTCAGGACCACACTCGTTTTCGTCCTCTCTCGACGAAATCGCAGCCACTTCTCCTTTCTTTCACATCGCCTCCTCTCCAGGGGTTATTGCTCCTTTTGTCTTCTTGACATTGTTTCACAGAATCGGTGATGTCACCCGAAGGAATAGGGATTAAGGGAGAAAGTTCTAGAACAGTTAAGACAAAAGAACAGAGGAGATACTAAGCCTAACTAAAATGAACAAAAATATATATAAAACTATGGCCGACGGCCACAGTTTCTTGAGTCACAACTTGAGGTTTCTTTTTGTGACTCCAACATAATCTTTTTGGACCTCTAACTGTTGATTTTTATAAGGTATTATGTGTACTCCAGTCTGTTCTTCTTTCTTTAGTTTGTCTTTATCATTTCTCAGTAAGTTGTAAATATTAGGAGCTCTTGTAATCTATCCTCAAATTTTTGTAAGTTGCTAGCTTATTTATAATGCCTTCCAACTGTTTGTTGTACATGAATTTATTGATTCTATCAATGTTTTTTTGGAGATTTATCTTTATTTCCTTCATAACTCCTCATGAGCCCTTCTATAGAGGATGTTCTATACCGTAAAGTTGTAATAATTTCTAATTCTGTTAATTTCTCTTAAGCAGTCCTGTATATTGGAACAATACAAAAAGGCTCTTCTAATCAGTGCTCTAAATGCAGAAAGTTTATACTTGTAAAGGTTATTAGATCATGAGATGAGATGTACAGAGGGAGCATAAGTTGATTTGATATAAACATCACAATAAATACTTCCATTTTTAAACTGGATGTTAATGTCTAGGAAGTGCAGATAACTAGTGCTCTGTTGTTCAAGTTTTAGATTTAAACTGTGCCTATTGTTGTTAGCTACATTCAAAAACTCCTGAACCTTTCAGTTATTTCTTCAAATTATGAATGCATCATCTACATATCTTTTATAGAGTAAGATGTTTTCTGTGAAAAATCTGAGGAGATCTTTTTTTGGGGCTTATGTAGTACAAGTTTGCATATATGTCCTGAAATGGGACCTTTCTTTTGTTTATATGACTTGCCATTGAATTTAAAAAATGATTGATAGCAAAAACCAATGTGGCTAACTCATTCATTTCATTTGGGTAAGCAGATAACTCTGGTTTGTGTTGAATCATGAACTCAATAACTGCATTGAAATATGATTCCAATTTAATAGAAGGATACAAACTTTCAAGGTCCATTACTGTTCTTATTTCATCATCCATTAAATTCAAGCCTTCTAATTCTCTTACCACGTAAATGCTGTCCTCTAGTTTGTTGGAAATGTATTGGTGTAGGCATTTTTCGAGAATATATGTTGGTGCCTTGCACTTCTCTACTATAGGTCTGATTTCTTTGGTTACCTTGTGAGTTTTTGCAAAGGCAAAGATTCTTGGTATTTGGGGGCTGGGTTATGCGATCTTTTTAGGAAAGTTAAGAATGAAGCAAGTGATGTTTTTTTTTCTAGTTTTTCAACCTTTCTGTCTGTTATTGCTATGATTTTTTCTTAGACCATTTCACATTCTGTTTTTATAATGTAATCTTCCATAGCTTTGTTATGGAATTGTCTTTTCATAATTACCAGCTGTTTAGTCTTATCTGTTCTCATTAACATTAAATCATTTTTATGTAGTATGTTTCTTTTGCACTTCTTACATTTGTATTTCCCTTTTCTGTAGATTTATTATATATTTTTTGTTGAGCACCATTTTGTATCTAAAGTAATCTTTTTCAACTTCATTAAGATCTGAGCCCATTTCCATTTCAGCCATTGATGTTTGCTATGGGCCTGCATCATCAAAAACATAGTTGGGGCCTTTTTCTAACATTTTTTCTACCTCTTTTGGTACTTCAATTTGGTCCCAAAGAACAAATGGTGTTGCTTTACTTTTCTTTTCTTCTGGAACTTGTTTCTTCAAGATCCACTTCATTTTTTTCAAATTTTTTAGACTGCATTATACCCAGTTTTATAACTCTTCTGTTTATTTCTTTCAACTTTTCAGGATCTTGATGTATTTTCCTTTAAAATTCCATACTTCTTGGTTTTTGTAACTCTAATTGATTTACATAGGCACTCTTCGAATTCTTCTTATTAACAAAGAACAATCTTTCAGAAGATTAATCCTATATATGGATATTGGAAAAACCTCCTCTTTGCATCTTTGATGTATGTCATGCATAGAGCAGTGCCAAGATATTCTTAAGTATGTTGTTGATTACCTGGTGAATTTTTGCTATAAGGGTTTCAATATTTTGTGGATGATTTTCATATTCTACACTCTTCAAATGTCCCCCCAAACAAAGAAGATACACGCTGATAGATCAGAGGATCATGCAAGCTAGTCAATATTGCCTCTGTTAGATATGATTTGATTTGGGAAAGCTACTGTAAGGCAGTCATAGAGATTGTGATAATATGAACAGTATCCTGTTGAAACCAGGTAATCTGAGAATAACAAGCCATTTTATTTGTTAGGAAAGTTTTGATCATTTGCACATTTGGCTGATATTATAGTCATTACATTTCCTCTTTTCCCTTATTTTCAAAAAGGACAGGAACAATTATTCTGTAACATTACATTGCATATCAAACAGTTATTTTCTCACAGTGAAATGGTTTCATGTAATTCCAAGGATTTTGTGTGGATTCATATTTAAAATTTTGTTTATTCATGAAACACATAATTGAAAACAAATTTTATTAGAGATCCTCAAACTGTCAATAAATTGGTTGTCTTCATCTGTGAGATTTTTCATTTTTTCGGAGAATGTCCTGTAGTTGTATTGCTAAAATCTACATAATGTATGTTTGAATATATTTATTGATAAAAATATAAAATGATCATTTAAAACAAATATACAGTAATTAATCTTCACTTTTGCTAAATATCAACTTGATTTCTTTATAACAACAAAAACACAATTGATTTCTTTAATTGAGCCAGTCAAACTTGAGTAACAGGCATTAAAAAAAAACTGCTGCGTCACCCACGACATGCATTCAAAAGTTAACAAAAGTATACTATTCTTTTCTGTTACTAAGAGAAATATGTTTATTAATGCAATCAATAATATATTTCCAATCGATAATTAACTAACAATCACAATTAAAAGTACTATATGACATGTTAATATTAATTTTAGTTAAACTAGGGCATTTTCTTTTTACAAATTATCATCATCATCTGAGCTTTTTTGTTGAACTTGATCAGAAATATCAACAATGTCTTCATTTTTTTTTTAAATAAAAATATGTTATTAATCAAAAATATGTTCTAGTGGATCATGTTTGTTCAATTGAGGACTGAGTGATATTTTNACAAAAGATAAATAAAAAAAAACTGAATTAAATAAGTACAAATTTTTATCATTGTAATATTAAAAGTTTTATATTGTCATCATAGCAAAATTGTACAAAGGCTAGATAAATGATCAAAAATCTGTTATTCTAAGAGACCATTCAAGTATTACATGAGTAGTTTATGGAGAAGAGAGATTCGTTTGATTCTGGCAATTTCAGATGATAAGGGAGGAAGGTTAAATCTTTGATGTAAGATTATACCCAGGTTTATTTTTTTCCTCAGTCATCATAAAATTTATGGTGTATGGCTGCGATATTATTATAGCATTTCATTTAAATTAGATATTATTTGACACACATCCTAATAAAAGTTGTTGCCAGATTACTGTGATCTGGCAACAACTAAATTTTCTGAAAAATTTATTATTATTTAATATATTTAACAAATAAAGTTAGTTTCTCAAACCTAAATTTATTTATGGTTTAATATGGAGAAACCTCAACTTGGAAGCCCTCCTACAGAAGAGTACTGTGTGAAGCTTAATAAATGAAAAAATAAACAGGGAAAATATTAATCATGAATAGAGGGGTCCTTTATCAAATGCTTGTAAGAAAGCTCACTGACATGATAAGATACTTTAAGAGTATCAGAAACAGACAAACATTGTATGGAATTGTTTGAAGAAATTGGTGCAGACCTGGATTACCAAGCACTGCATAAAATTCAGGAATGAGATGTCTTGGCAATAATTCCTATTTATTTGCAAATGGTTTCAACTTCTGGCCTAGTGGCACAATTAGAGAGTAAACTTTGATTTCTAATGACTGGTGATGATGTAGAGATGAAAAAAGGACAAATTTTTGCTGATGTAATTCTTGAATGGCACCTAAAAGCTATTGTCAGATTTAAAAAATAATTTTATCTAACTAATACAGTACAAACAACCACTGGATTACATTGGGCTACTTTTCTGCAATTATATTTAATTAATTACTAAATAATTTGTCACCAGAGGGAGGTGTTAGGTGCTATCTCTTATTAAATTAATATGTATAATCCAGTGGTTGTTTGGTTTTACAAATTTATTGGGTTTTGAGAAGTTTATGTATAATACAATACAGTAAAACCTGTCTAAAACAGACCTTCTGCAAAATGGAAACTTATCTAAATAGGAAATTAATCTCAGAATGGAATGATTTACTCTATAAAATACTATTTCAAACCAGAAACCTGTCTAACACAGAAATGGAAGACTTTTTGGGTTACAATCATATAACATAACCTGAGTAAAACAGAATTTTTTAAAGTAACTAATTCAGCTTTGTTGTTTTAAAGATAACATATTTTCTAATAAATACAAATATAATTTTTTTTTACAGAAGAAAAAGTTTGAGATTCGTTCAGTTGGTTGTCCAGAAGAACGGAAATTTACTTATTATGCTAGTTCTGAAGACTTAGCTAAAAGCTTACTATGGTTATGTAGGATGACTCACCAATTTCATATGGTTACACAAACCCGTGTACAAGAATTAAAACAATTAGAATTAGAAGGTACGCTCTAATTTTTTCATAATATAAAATCAATAAATTTAAATATAACATTTGTATATTATAATTTTATTTATAATCAAAGATTATCATTTGTTGATATCATTCTATGTTATGTGCATAATGCTTTTTTTATAGTTTTTCTGTCTGTAAATCTGAAGAAAAATAGTCATTTCTCTTTTTCAAAACTTAGGTTAATAGACTTGTCATATCAAAGTATGTAATAAAACAAATTTTATATGAAGAAATCTAATTCCTGATAGTTAAAGTCATTTTGAAAGATAATAAATATAATAATAAATAGTGTGAACTAAGAAGTTTTTGTATATACACAAGTACAATGTCTTTACGATTAATTGTATAAGTAAAATTATTTGAACATTTAAAAATTCAAAATTTTATAAGTTGTAAATGTTGGAATTTCATTCAATTGATGCAAATAAAAAAATATCTTTACAATGCAAACAAAGCAGAAAAATAGTCATATATTAATTTTAATACAGAGTAAATTAATTGATTTTCACTCTCACTTCATTTAAAATTAGGAAATATATAGTTAGTGTAACCTTACTAATATTTTAAAAGATGAACCTATTACTAACATATTTTGTTTCAAGATAAATTTTGAAATTAATGCTTGTAAGTCATGCTAGCTATTTTGATCTTTAGTCAAAAAAATCTAATACATAATTTTAAAAAACTATGATAGAAATGAGTTAATGGAGTATCTATAACATATTACTAACTTAAAAAAAGTATTTAGCACTCTTCCTCTTTTTTATTTTAAAGTATTTAAATCTAGTAATAAAATCAACCATTAGAACTAAAAATTGTTTGATGAGTTCCATTAACCTTAGCCTTAAATTAACCATAAATTAAAATATTAATTTATGAAAATTTTGAGTCATGTTACAATTAATAAATCAGTTTAATAAATAAAATGCTTTAATTCTGAAATATATCATATTTTTAAATATAATAATATAATAGTTTCGAAAAACATTTTATAAGTTACTAAGTAAAATAGATATAGATATTTCCTACATATATATATATATATATAGGAAATAATAATTTATAATCAAATTACTATGCACCTGGATTTAAATAAATCACACTATACTAGCTTGTCTTAGTATATAATTTTAAAAATTAATAATGTATTTAAACATTAACAAAGTTCTTTGTTTATAAACCATAAACATTATTTCTAAATTCTATGCAATTATTGCTCATATTTAAAAGACTGAAAAATAAAAATTTTTTAAATGAATAATGAATTTATCATGTTAATGTTTCTGATGATAAATCAACAGTAAGATATTATGTTTAATTATGTAATTGCAACTAATTAATATTTTTAATTTAAAAATAATATATCTCTGTAATGCTAATTATTTTATTGAGTGAAAGAGTAATCTATTTGATTGCATATTTTATTATTTTAATGTTGAAAGTGGATTAAATTTAAATTATCACTCTAAAAATCATGTAAAGTATGCAAAATTTCTTTAAAATATAAAAATTCTCAATATATTTATTATGTATATATAGAATGTTAAATGAATGGTTTGAATTTTTCTGTTTTCTTTTTTACAGGGCATAAACCATATAGGGAATCTTATATATATAGTGATAGTCTTGATATGGCTTGGGAAAAACGACAGAGAGAACATCAAGATCAGTCTACATTACAGTGTTCTGTTTCTCGACTGAAAAAAATGAATACTACCAATAATAGTAATGAACAAAGGGTTTCAGTTATCAGTAGCACATCATCTAATACTACATCAGGAATTGTTTCTGATCGAATTCAAAGTTTTGATGAAAGTGAAGGTAATTGTTTTTTAAATTTTCTTACGTAAAAAATACTTTATAATCTATAAATTCCAAATTTTAGTTTTCAGTATGGTTGAGTTCTTAATTTTTTTAAAATTCATCAAAACTTTTGTCATATACATGACATTTCCATTTGTAAAAACAAAAGATAAATAAAAAAAAACTGAATTAAATAAGTACAAATTTTTATCATTGTAATATTAAAAGTTTTATATTGTCATCATAGCAAAATTGTACAAAGGCTAGATAAATGATCAAAAATCTGTTATTCTAAGAGACCATTCAAGTATTACATGAGTAGTTTATGGAGAAGAGAGATTCGTTTGATTCTGGCAATTTCAGATGATAAGGGAGGAAGGTTAAATCTTTGATGTAAGATTATACCCAGGTTTATTTTTTTCCTCAGTCATCATAAAATTTATGGTGTATGGCTGCGATATTATTATAGCATTTCATTTAAATTAGATATTATTTGACACACATCCTAATAAAAGTTGTTGCCAGATTACTGTGATCTGGCAACAACTAAATTTTCTGAAAAATTTATTATTATTTAATATATTTAACAAATAAANATCTAGTAATAAAATCAACCATTAGAACTAAAAATTGTTTGATGAGTTCCATTAACCTTAGCCTTAAATTAACCATAAATTAAAATATTAATTTATGAAAATTTTGAGTCATGTTACAATTAATAAATCAGTTTAATAAATAAAATGCTTTAATTCTGAAATATATCATATTTTTAAATATAATAATATAATAGTTTCGAAAAACATTTTATAAGTTACTAAGTAAAATAGATATAGATATTTCCTACATATATATATATATATATAGGAAATAATAATTTATAATCAAATTACTATGCACCTGGATTTAAATAAATCACACTATACTAGCTTGTCTTAGTATATAATTTTAAAAATTAATAATGTATTTAAACATTAACAAAGTTCTTTGTTTATAAACCATAAACATTATTTCTAAATTCTATGCAATTATTGCTCATATTTAAAAGACTGAAAAATAAAAATTTTTTAAATGAATAATGAATTTATCATGTTAATGTTTCTGATGATAAATCAACAGTAAGATATTATGTTTAATTATGTAATTGCAACTAATTAATATTTTTAATTTAAAAATAATATATCTCTGTAATGCTAATTATTTTATTGAGTGAAAGAGTAATCTATTTGATTGCATATTTTATTATTTTAATGTTGAAAGTGGATTAAATTTAAATTATCACTCTAAAAATCATGTAAAGTATGCAAAATTTCTTTAAAATATAAAAATTCTCAATATATTTATTATGTATATATAGAATGTTAAATGAATGGTTTGAATTTTTCTGTTTTCTTTTTTACAGGGCATAAACCATATAGGGAATCTTATATATATAGTGATAGTCTTGATATGGCTTGGGAAAAACGACAGAGAGAACATCAAGATCAGTCTACATTACAGTGTTCTGTTTCTCGACTGAAAAAAATGAATACTACCAATAATAGTAATGAACAAAGGGTTTCAGTTATCAGTAGCACATCATCTAATACTACATCAGGAATTGTTTCTGATCGAATTCAAAGTTTTGATGAAAGTGAAGGTAATTGTTTTTTAAATTTTCTTACGTAAAAAATACTTTATAATCTATAAATTCCAAATTTTAGTTTTCAGTATGGTTGAGTTCTTAATTTTTTTTAAATTCATCAAAACTTTTGTCATATACATGACATTTCCATTTGTAAAAACAAAAGATAAATAAAAAAAAACTGAATTAAATAAGTACAAATTTTTATCATTGTAATATTAAAAGTTTTATATTGTCATCATAGCAAAATTGTACAAAGGCTAGATAAATGATCAAAAATCTGTTATTCTAAGAGACCATTCAAGTATTACATGAGTAGTTTATGGAGAAGAGAGATTCGTTTGATTCTGGCAATTTCAGATGATAAGGGAGGGAGGTTAAATCTTTGATGTAAGATTATACCCAGGTTTATTTTTTTCCTCAGTCATCATAAAATTTATGGTGTATGGCTGCGATATTATTATAGCATTTCATTTAAATTAGATATTATTTGACACACATCCTAATAAAAGTTGTTGCCAGATTACTGTGATCTGGCAACAACTAAATTTTCTGAAAAATTTATTATTATTTAATATATTTAACAAATAAAGTTAGTTTCTCAAACCTAAATTTATTTATGGTTTAATATGGAGAAACCTCAACTTGGAAGCCCTCCTACAGAAGAGTACTGTGTGAAGCTTAATAAATGAAAAAATAAACAGGGAAAATATTAATCATGAATAGAGGGGTCCTTTATCAAATGCTTGTAAGAAAGCTCACTGACATGATAAGATACTTTAAGAGTATCAGAAACAGACAAACATTGTATGGAATTGTTTGAAGAAATTGGTGCAGACCTGGATTACCAAGCACTGCATAAAATTCAGGAATGAGATGTCTTGGCAATAATTCCTATTTATTTGCAAATGGTTTCAACTTCTGGCCTAGTGACACAATTAGAGAGTAAACTTTGATTTCTAATGACTGGTGATGATGTAGAGATGAAAAAAGGACAAATTTTTGCTGATGTAATTCTTGAATGGCACCTAAAAGCTATTGTCAGATTTAAAAAATAATTTTATCTAACTAATACAGTACAAACAACCACTGGATTACATTGGGCTACTTTTCTGCAATTATATTTAATTAATTACTAAATAATTTGTCACCAGAGGGAGGTGTTAGGTGCTATCTCTTATTAAATTAATATGTATAATCCAGTGGTTGTTTGGTTTTACAAATTTATTGGGTTTTGAGAAGTTTATGTATAATACAATACAGTAAAACCTGTCTAAAACAGACCTTCTGCAAAATGGAAACTTATCTAAATAGGAAATTAATCTCAGAATGGAATGATTTACTCTATAAAATACTATTTCAAACCAGAAACCTGTCTAACACAGAAATGGAAGACTTTTTGGGTTACAATCATATAACATAACCTGAGTAAAACAGAATTTTTTGATGTAACTTGTGGGTGTCTTTTCAGTGATGAAAGTTACAGTCTATCTTTCTTTTTCTTTGTTTATCAGTGATTCCCAAACTTTTTCGATCCACCGCCCTCTTTATTCCATAAAGTTATATCCAATGCCCCCTAACACATTTTCTCTTGTGTGAGAAAGGATTGGAAATATTCTTCTATGAATCTCACACTTTATGACCTTACCATACATTGTTCTCAACATCTGGAAACCATTAAATGCAATGTTTCCTCTTATCAGTTTAACAGAGGAAAGGGAATGGCTTTCAGTGACTCCAATTTTGCATTTGGTCATTTTCAATACCCTGCTTCCAGCACCCCCTAGATTTACTCATCGCCCACAAGGGGGTGTTATTGCCCACTTTGAGAAATGCTGGTTTAGATTATAGTTTCATTGTCTGAACAGTAGCTTTGACAATAATGTACTCTCAAATACAGTGGAACATCTTGCTTAACAAGTACTTTGCATAACAAGCAAAACAAATTGTAAAAAAAAAAAAAAATTAATGAGGGACATTTCACATAACAAGTGACGAGAAGAATGGAAGTCCCAGATTGTGTGCATGCTCCATCAGTCTTTGTTTAGCACTCATTCCACTAGCATCTTAGTGTCGCTTGTGATTACACATTTTTCCAAATTTGTGTTCACACATATTACATATAAACATCAACAACCATAGCCTGTTATATAATAAACACACCAAACGATATGCCAAATTCTTAAACTATGTGAAGGCTATAATTAAATATTAGAAATTCCATCAGTCTGTTTAGCACTCATTCCTCTAGCATCTTAGTGTCGCTTGTGATTACACATTTTTCCAAATTTGTGTTCACACATATTACATATAAAAATCAACAACCATAGCCTGTTATATAATAAACACACCAAACGATATGCCAAATTCTTAAACTATGTGAAGGCTATAATTAAATATTAGAAATTAATTAATTTGACTAGAGATAGGCAGTTATGCTGTCATCTCATATTAAATTTAATAATTATAAATAATTTTTAATTTAGACATTTCTAAAATTTAATCTGGAATTGGTCAATAAATTTAATACAAGATGGCAGCATAACTGCCTACCTCTAGTCAAATTAATTAATTTCTAATATTTAATTATAACTGTTACATAGCCCAATAATTTGGCATATTGTTTAGTGTGTTTATCAGACATATTAGCTGTGATTTTTTTTTTGTTTTCTGTAAATTGAATTTGCATTCCAGGTTGGTTCATTCCACGCTAGACAAAAAGATAAAGATGATTCATGCTCCTTAACAATGTATATTGTATAATTTTCTTTGAATAAACATTATATATAAAATAGTTGAATATTTTTTCTGCACGGAATGCATTATCATAGTTTACATTAATTTATATGGAAAAAATTGTTTCACATAATGAGTGTTTAGAATTATGAGTAAGATTGTGGAACAAATTATGCTTGTTAAGCGAGGTTCCACTGTAATTTTAATGTTTCTCCTTGACTCTCTAGAAGAAACTCATTCCTTAGCACTAATGACTATTTAAAAAATACAGTACAACTTTTTGATGAAATAATATATGCTTTTAATCTAATATAAACAAATAATTATAAAAGTAAAATTAATTAAATGTATTTTCATGTTTAATAAATAAAAGTTATCAAATTATTATGGTGAAATGTTTTAGCAATGTTCTACTCTCTCTTTATATTATCTCGACGAAAGAAGCAACCAATGCTACTTGGCAAAATTTTAAGGACTAGCCAAAATTCACTACCAAATTACTGATATAAGAAATAACAAATTTATTCTAAAAGCAGTTATTCCTACAGATGCTAAAGTAACTTTTAAATAAAAATTGAAGAATTCTATGTTAGTCTTATATAATAATGAATTTTAAGTGCTGATTAGTAAATGGCATCAAAAGAATTAGTAAGTGGCTTTTAAACATGTTTTCCTCTATGCACTATATATACACAATTTTGGTGTTTCAACATATTTGTTACGTTTTTCAACTTTTTCTCTTTTTCTGCATTAATAAAAACATAATTATTTATAAAATGGAAACCTGCCAAAATGGTAAATAGTACTATTGTGTTCTGTCTTATATAGGATTTATTTTTATACAATAGCGGGATTGCAGCCAAAGTTTTCATCTCTAAAACATGAACTTTGAACATTGGGTCCGCTATCTTGTAAGCAATGTTCGACGTTCATGTTTTTGAGATGAAAACTTCAACTGCAACCTCGCTAATATATTGGAAATTAATGAAATTATATGTATTCCCCCTTCTGCAACTGTACCAGCATTAACCACAAAAACATAACCATTTATTATGCAGTAATATTTATTATTCTAACGTTTTTGGTTTTCTTAATTGGCCTTCAGGTGATATTTGAATTTTACAATTTAAAAGGAATAAAGCTTCCACTTATTCTATAATGGTTTACAACTTTCCATTTTTTGGAATAAGATAAATTTGTCTTATTCCAAAAACATAATGTTGTAAGTATAATAAGTGGCAGCTTTACATACGATATACTTAACATACAATAGTTTTAAAATATCTGAAAATATTTTTAGTTTATGGTATCCACTGATTTTGTTTTTTAATAAAATTAAATACAGTAAGATCCTGCTTAATGCTGATTTGATATAACATGGTCTGCTTGACGTTTTAAAAAGTGCTCGAAATTTACGCTGATTCAAATTAATGTAGCAGTTGATTGATTCATATATAATATGATTATTCCCGAACATGAACCAATCAGCAAAAGGTGGCAATTCATTATAGCGCTGTACTTTCCTTAAATCTGTTTATTTCATGCAATTTTGGAAAAAATATAATATCATGGATGCCATGGGTAATATCGACTTCACTTGGCAAGAATTAACTGATAAATGCATAAACAGAGTGTGGAAGAAGTTATGGCTAGAAGTATCCAAGAATTTTCAACGAGAAGAGTCTATTGGGACTAGGAGATGTAGACAAGCAGGTTATTGAAGAGTTACTGCAGGTTTCTGGTGAGAGCCTTACCAACAATGACGTTCAGAAACTGACAGAACAAGGAATTCATGTAGAACTGGAAAATAGTGATTCCAAAAATGAAGAACGAAAAGAATTTCTATATGGATTTCCTTAGTAAAAGTTTGGTAAAGATCTTTGATCAAATTGTAGCAAATGATCCAGATTTTGAAAGGAGTGCAAAAGCAAAACTAGGCATTTTGGATGTGATCTTTTGCTACTGACATTTGCTTAAGGAAAGAAAAAAAGCAACAAATGAAACTATATGACTTTATTGCAAAAAACAATAATTTCAGAAGAGCCAGGACCTTCATCACAAAAAATGAACTTTACATTTCTGTGTGCATGTTTGTGTGTTATTTAACATACATTATTATGCAAATTAATATAAAAATAACTTAAAATTTTGGTCGCATGTTTCCGTTTCCCTATTTACTCTGGTTAAAATGACATCGATTAATGCTGTTTCGCTTAGTGCTTTGTCATCTAGGAGCACATTTCTCATGTTAAGCAGGGTCTTACTGTATATGAAAATATTCTTGACAAATATTGCAATTATATTGCACTCATTTTTTAAATATGAAGATAATTATTGTGTTTATACCATACATACTGATAAAAATAGAAAGCCTGCTTCAGATGCAAAAGTTATGGATTTCATTAATGACATTTTAACTGTTCTAAGGAAAAAATATTTTATTTAGAAATCTATAATTTTTGAATTAGATCCTGTTATAAAGATCTGAATAAATAGTTTGAACAATTGTTCTAATTTTGAAGTAATCCTTTTAATTTTTATGAATGCAAAGTTGCTAATAAAAACTGTCTGATGATGCTAAAATGACAGTACATGATAGCCTTTTAGTGTAGTAAGCTAGCTTTGAATGCTTACAGTATTTATTAGAAATTCTGCAAAATGTGAAAAATAAACCCAGCATATAGAGAAAAACAGAAAAGAAAAACAGAATACACCTATTTATACCAGGTGTATTCAATAGAGAGAGAGAAAATATTATTAAAACAGTACATTCTCCAACCATTGATATGAATGTGGAAAAAATAGTTATACACAAGAGCAAGATTAAAAACAGTGCCTGAAATCTAGAGATGCAAATGCATTACCTTCAGCTTGTAATTACACCATAAAAAAATATTACAACATAAAAACCTAAGTTATGTGTCCTCTACAATCAACTTTGGCTTTACTTTTATGTTAAACTTTCTTAATNGGTCGGAATCAACAAGAACCTTTCCTGTATATGTTCACAGAAAAAAATAAAGCACGTCTTATTTGTTTTATATACCCGTCTCTTTGTGAAATCAACCCTCACCACGTGCTTATTACCACAATATGAATGTGGAAAAAATAGTTATACACAAGAGCAAGATTAAAAAAACAGTGCCTGAAATCTAGAGATGCAAATGCATTACCTTCAGCTTATAATTACACCATAAAAAAAATATTACAACATAAAAACCTAAGTTATGTGTCCTCTACAATCAACTTTGGCTTTACTTTTATGTTAAACTTTCCTAATTTTTATTTCATATTTTTCATAATTTATTTATTTAATTTTTGTAATTTTAAATTTGTATTTAGAATACTTCAAATGTGAAAAATTTAAACTGAATATTCTATTTTCTCAAACTTATTTTAAAACCTGATTGACAGTCTGTGGCAGTAGGTTGAAAACGTTTGCTAATAAAGAACTTTCTCAGCAAATGCTCAGGTGTTGTAGTAGATTGTAATAAAAACTATTTTCATAAATATTTTGACAGACATGAAAAAGGAAACTATGTTCAAAATATCAGTTTTGAAAGTTTGAAATTAATGAATTAAATATTTTTAAAAATATACAATTTTTCAAAATATTAGTTATTATTATTTATTTATTTATAAATTATACATTGTTACAATTTGAATAATAATAATATCAATCATTTATATTTTAGATGATATAGAAATCGAAAATTTAACTCCACTTATATCTCATAATTTAAATGTAACATCTGTAAAAAATAGACAACTTGGAATGGAAAATAAAGATAATGGATCACAATGTAGCGAACGTAGTGAACATTCATCTTCAGTTGAATCAGGCATGGGTATGTAATATTTGGGAATTTATCATCATTAGTATATATTGAATACTAAAAATTATAAATTTGTGATGTACGATTAAGTAATTCAAATATTATTGATTTAAATCATAATTTTGATATATATGTATAACTTCAGATATTCAGTATATAAATTTGTCTTATTCCAAAAACATAATGTTGTAAGTATAATAAGTGGCAGCTTTACATACGATATACTTAACATACAATAGTTTTAAAATATCTGAAAATATTTTTAGTTTATGGTATCCACTGATTTTGTTTTTTAATAAAATTAAATACAGTAAGATCCTGCTTAATGCTGATTTGATATAACATGGTCTGCTTGACGTTTTAAAAAGTGCTCGAAATTTACGCTGATTCAAATTAATGTAGCAGTTGATTGATTCATATATAATATGATTATTCCCGAACATGAACCAATCAGCAAAAGGTGGCAATTCATTATAGCGCTGTACTTTCNTTCACATTATATATCCTATGTTCCATTCCAAAACCTGATGATAACTGCTAATTATGGTCAAAAACATATGTTGCAGTAGTAAACTTTAACCTTTTTGCTGAATTGCTGGTTTTTTGAAGTTATTTTTAACAAAATTTCTTTAATCACTTAACTTTCTTGATCTATCTCCTTGCTGCACATTTTCATAATTTAATAATAATTTTAGAATATTTTATCCCTGTGTGATTGAAGTTACTAAAAAAAAGTCAAATTTAGGCTTAGTATATCAAAAGAATATTTTATATTTATTATATAAATTTAACAAAAAATAAAGATAAATTTTAAGTTTTAAATTTTATTTTGGAAAATAGATAAAGTATGGTTTATAAAACTTCTATATAGGTCAATAAAATTTGAATATATATGTCAATAATATTATCTACTGAGTTTGCTGGAAGTGAATATTAGTAAAGAAAAATAAAAAATAATGTACTAGTGACAGAAATGAAATAATTAAGAAAAATACTGGACATAATCAGAATGGCAGGAATACAAAAATAAAGAGAGAAATTGGAATAGAGTGGATCCTGACAAAACCAAGAAAGATGACTAAACTAATTCAAACATATTACAAGAATAGACATTGAATCATTCTACAAGAAAGTGAAGGAATGAAGAGATAGACAGAAAATGAAATGGATGGGAATAATGAAATATGATATGAAAGAATAATAAGATTTGATGAACAAGATAAAATCTTAATTTTGTTCATTAAAAAACTTGAGCTCCCTAATAAACCCACACTAGAGCTCCCAAGGGTAATGCTATTCAAATCCATAAAAGGTTAATTATGATAGTCAAGAGTCACTAAAGTCAAGAGAACTTCTTGGCTTTAGTGCATTTGACAGTGATAAATAACACTATTCTCAATTTCACATGGTTATCTTTCTATGCAAGCACTAATTTATTTCTTGTGTTCGAATTTGATAATGATTCGAAGCTCTTCAAATTTTATGATTTTGTTCCAACTAGAGTGAGTTAATATAAATTTTTAAAAATTTAATGTTAACATTCTAGAATATGTTCTTTTTTGCCTGTGGAAGACATTTTTGTAAATGTTGAAATACTTCTGAGCATTTCTTTTCATTATTAAAGACCAATAACACTGAAAATATAGCATTTTTATTTTTCTTACTATTTACTCTATTTTTTATTTGTAATTTATAATACAAAATAAAATAAAGTTGTTTTTAATGACAAAAATTAATTTCATTGTTTTCTTTTAATATTTAATTATGTACTGTTTTTCAAATATAGTCATATTCTAAAGAATTTTGAAGAACCTTAATGAAAATTAAAGTTAAATTTTGTTAAATTTATGTTAAATTAATGAAAATGCATAGCTTATCATAGATGTTTATTTATATATGCATATATTTTTAATCAAGAAATAATAATTGATGCTGATGTTTTCTTTATTTTATAAAATATGCTGATACAGAAAATTTATCTTAATTAAAATTTTAACTGTGTTAAAAGAAAAATAATATTGTTATATATATTAATTTATTTATTTAAATGGATTATAACATATTTAAATTTAAAAAAAAAAGTTTTGAATTGCAGATCATACAAATTTTTTTAATGATGTCTTTCAATAATTTTGAAAAAGAACTGATATGTTGTCATTGTTTATAGGTGATCAGCTTAGTGTTCCCTCAAGTGGATATTGGAATACTGATGGTAAGAGAACAACACCTACATCATCCTTGTTATCTGGTGGAAGTTATACATCATTTACTGACAGTACTCACAGTTCTTCATCTCAGCTTAGTGCAATTACAGTTAAAGCAAATCTTATATCACCAAGAGTTGGTGCATTTTCTAACAGAAATTGCTGTTGGAATTCTTGTTGTTCTAATATGGTTAATGATGATGATTCCAACAGTGATAAAATTAAAAATTTTACCAAAAAAGATGTGAAAATGATGGATGTAAAACCTCAATGTAGTCTTGTTGAACAAAATCAGAGTATTAAAAATAACAGCAATACAAAAAATGGTTTTAACAAATTATCTCCTCAAGAAATAGAACTTTTGTTGGAAAAACAACTATATCAAAGACAACAATGTATTCACAAATACATGCATAATACATTGCCATCTCTTTCTTTTTCTGATAAAGAAATTTCTTCATCTTCATACTTGGAGAAACCCTATGATCATGTTCATGTGATTGGTGCACTCTGCAATAAAAAAAATCTGAAAGAAACTTCTATTAGTAGACAAAAGAATTTTGGAGATAACTCTCATTCCCCATTATATTCATCCACGCCTACAATTTCTCACCAATCACAGATTTTTAATCAAGAACCTTATGCAAATTATTCATCATCACTTAAATTTCAAAGTCTACCATTACATTCAGTCATTAATCCAGTTGCATCAACTTCTCACTTGCACACTCGTAATGCTACAAGAATTGGAGTTTCATCGCTGACCAGGCAAAGAATTCCTCTGTCAATATTTAATTACAACAGAGTGCCAATGATGACTACAGCCTCAGAACCAAATCTCTGTTGCTCAAATGCATTGCATGAGCATCACTGTATCTCTTCTATAAATTCCAAAGCTTCATCAAACAATTCTCTTCAGGAAGGGAATTCTATGGTTCAAAATTCATCTTGTGACACAGTAGAAAAATTATTAGACAATTCGCCATATTCAAACTGTACTCAATCAGAAAACAATTTAGATACAGTTGATTTTTGTAATAATACTGATTCATCATTAGATCTCAACAATTTTCCTTGTATACCTCCTCCTTTAGCCTATAGAACTTCAAGTGATAAAGGTGTTGATGATATAAATTTACCAAGACATTGTATAGATGAAATTCATTCATGTCATCAAAACTGTGTGCATAGAAATATTCCTGTTACGTATTTTTCAAAAAGCTTAGAATCATTACCTTCTTTCATTGATGGTAAACAACTGGTAAGTGATAGAAATAAACTATAAGTATCATTGAAAAATTATTTATAAAATTTGAATTTTCTAAATTTTTGATAACAGATAACATTAAGTTATATATTGGAATCTAGGATTATTTCTTTGTGCTGTGTTATAATTAAAATCTTCAATACTTAAATTTATTTAAACATTGAAGATTTTAATGTAAATTTACTTTTATTCGAAAGAAACAATTTAAATTGTTCTATATACAGTACTAAAAATTAAATATGCATAAATAAAAATACTTTTAATTTAAGATTTAATAAAATTTTAATGATGTTTTGCAACAAGTTTATGTACCATGGGTTACTATTTTATTTCATTTTATTTACGTTTCTTTATATTTTTTTTTTTGTGCAGAATATAGCACTTCAATGAAATACTTCTTATGCTAATTCATTGGGAATCTTTTGACAATATAGGTATCATATCTTCTTTATACTAATTCTAGGATATTTCTAAAATCTGCAAATCTATTAACAAAAATTCAATGATTATATAATTTTGTTAATATATATTTATGTATTAAATATTTAAAATTCTATTAACATTAAAAATATATACTGAAAAATTTAAATAATATAAAAGTTTTATAGTAACATTAAAAATTAATAGTTATATGAGGGCTGATGAAAAATATCTGGGACAGAATTTATTGTAGGAAAAAGAAAAACAATTAACAGTTACTGGGTGTTATCTTCTTCAAAGTACTCTCCAGATTGTATACTGTGATTGCAATGATTTTTCTTTTTCTACATGTGTGATAGGTCTGTTTGGGAATGGTCTGCAGCTGTCATGTTCATTTGTATTTCCATGATGTATTGATATCATTTCTCCTTTAAAGTGCTTTTGAGCTTGAGAAAAAGGAAAAAGACTCAAGAAGCCAAATCTGGTGACTAAGGTAGATAGGGAACTATGGAGATGTGTTTGGCCAAAAATTCCATGACACTTAGAGCTGTGTGCCATTGTGTGTTGTTATGATGCAGAAGACAGTTATCAGAAGAACATTTGTGAGTTTCTAACGAACACATCTAGGTATTATGATAGAACTGAAGTAGACAGTTTCTTTGATTTGTGTCATTAAGGATAGCCTGTATATTTGTCATCATCAATTAAAGTGCAGCCATTTTTGAAAACTGAATACCACTCAAATGTCTTGGACTGAGTGAGTGCTGCTTGTCAAAATGCTTGTTTGAAGCATTTTGACAAGTGACCATCTTACCAAGTTTCCAGTAAAATTTTATGCAAACATATTGATCCTTCAACTCCATCTATTTCACAACACAACAGAGAGAGAAACACATGCCTGCACTGACAATTGATTTGTGCTGCTAGCCACTATGGTACATGGTGTCAGGAGATGTAGTCAAATATCCTCCATGATTCCACTTTGCTACTATTAGAAGTTTCTCTATAAAAAAATTCTGTTCTAGATACTTTTGAGCAACCCACATAAAATAAAATTCTTCATTAAGCTTGTTAAGTATTGAATTATTGAAATTGATATAAATAAATATACTCACAGAATATTTATAAATACAGTGGGTGATCAGTTAATGAACATAATCCGTTCCAAGACTTTGTTCGCTGTCCGAATTGTTTGTTAACCGATTATTAATTTAGCATAGGTTTTTATGGAAATTTGATTAATTCGTTATGGAGATCCCAAAAAATAAAAAATATATACTTTCTTACTACATTTATTTATATGTAATAATAAAAACACATATATACACAGTCTTGCATTTTTTATTAGTCATATTCTTTTCTGTTTGTGGGGCTTAAAGAATCTGTCAAATGTGGATTGCTTTTCTCTCTTCTTCAGGATTTTTCAGAAATAATTAATAGCATTGCAATTGTATCTCTACAATTACAATAACTCAATTATTACCAAGCCTATTAACCTCAACCTGGTTTGGATGCCATTCTAAGACCATTGTTTTGACATCTTCCCACTTATTCAAAAGATCTTTAATAGCAGATATTGGCATTAATCCTCTTTTTCAGAAGAAAACATATTTCGCCTAGTTTCTTGGTGTTCTTCTGTCGTCAGATCCATTTCAGGCTCCATTATGAGCTCTCCAATGTTCTTTATTTCTCAGATGTAATTTTTTTACTCCTTTAGCTGCTTGAGTCTTCTTGATTATACTGCATCTTTCTTAGATAAGATTGAACTGCGGCCTACTATAGACCTGTTCAAACCATACTGCCCAGCAACATCAGACATCTTCTGCCCACTCTCTACCTTTGCTATTATACTCTCACCTTTTGAAAATAAAAACCAATGCAAAATTAATGAGTGCCCACCCAACAGTCTCGCGAATACTATAAAAGAATTGTTTCTGTCAGAAAAATAAAAGGCTGGAATTACAAGGGAGAGTTTCAAATTTCGGAGGAATACTATCCGATCAGTATATACCAGGTTGAGCATCAATGTCAACGTCTCCTGCGCTTCGAAAAGTTTCCTGAAGACGGGAAGACCAATTGGTATTCACTATTTTACGTTGCTTCTTGTGTTTGTTCTGTGAGGTGTTTTGTTATCTGAATGTGTGTTCATTGTCCGAGCATAAAAATCTTTCACGAAAGTGTTTGTTATCCGATTTGTTCATTAACCGATCACCCACTGTAATATGATTTCATCAATTTGTTTCAGAAAAGTTACAGATACCAAAAAATTAATCAAGTAGTTATAAAAAGCACAGACAAATATTTGTTTTTTCTTCTCACATTTTTAAAGATTGAATATATTAATATATTTCATTTATATCATGCATATATTGTGATATAACACAAATAATGACAAAAGAATCAATTGTTTTATCATTTTCTTCTATAAAATATTGGAGTTGCCTTGAATGATACCTGATAATGATGATTTTTTTTCAAATCAGAGCATGATCATATATTTATAATGTGAATAGGGTTTGCATTACCAGTAAATAAGTTTACCAGTTTACTAATAAATTTATTAAAAATAGGTAGACATGTAATAATTTTTTAAGCCAAATATTTATTTGCATACACTTTCACATATATTTTTTTTGATTTATTAAAAATATAAAAGTGCCAAATGTTTTTATTTAAACTGTAAAAATAGTTTGGGCTATGTTATTTACATTTTAAATTGTTACTTTACAGTTCTTTACAATTTTAAGGTCTCATATTACAGCACTTTGCTGGACAGTTTGACAAATTATTTCTGTATCAGTAATGCCTAGAACATAATAGTGATTTTAATTGAACATTTTAACTGATGTAATGGAACAAATTTATTAATTAGGCAACTAAAAAATTACAGAATGCTTTATTTTAAGGTAATTGTTGCTATTCAGAGTAGAAAAAGGGTAATTAATTGGACAGAGCATACTAATTGTTTAGTTTTGGACTAACAAATGAGTCAGCAATAAAACAGTCACTAGTGCTCTAATTTTCACATTTAGATTTAAAATTTAAAAATTGCTGATGATAAAAAGTCAGTAAATTTGCAACCCCTAAATGTGATGACATAATTTTTGAATTTGCAGTCATTGAAATCAACTAATCAGGAAAATCAATTGCAAGATCTAACCTTTCTTGACTTTTTCTGTAAAGTTTCATAATGAAATAGATTTACTTTTCATTAGAACTTATACTGAGTGATTTGTAAGATTGTACAGTACATTAACATCAATTACAAAAATTAGTTATTGTTTAATATGGAATGTTGGCACTGAATAAATTATCATCTTTCTGTGTATAGTATAAGTGATACATCTATTGAGCTCTCAAGCCATTGAAAAATTCTGAGTTCTTCTCAAAATATAGATTTGAATTTATAATTGTAAATCATAACTTGATATATCTATTTAATTTATTTATATGTAAGTTTAATTTTTACGTATTTCTGTAGAATATATTTAATATTTATTAGAAATAAATTTTTGTAATTTCTCACATCATTGCAGATACTAGGTATATTTGTATGTATAGTATATGATATATTTTCAATAATATAGTTTGCAATAATTTGTATATTAAGTTTTTATTATATACAATCCTAAATTGATAGTTTAAATTTATCCAATTGACAATAGTATAAAGTATAAAGTTATTGTTATTTATTTATCAAATAAAAATGTTTAATAAACAAATAATAATAGCTTTATGAATGACTTTGTAATAAAAAATAACACCAAGAATATTTTGTACATTTTTAAAATTTGACCACAGTATAAATTTAATTATTTATAGTTATGTCAAATATAAAAATAAAAAAAAAATTATATATTGTATATATAAAATACATTTTTTATTATAAAAGCATCTTTCATACATTAAAAATAAATGATTGCCTTTTAAATTATTTATATATGTTTCAAAATTTTAAATTATTAAAGAAAACAAAAAATACAATAAAATTATTTTATCTGCATAAAACAATTGAAAACTCTAAATATTATTTGGAATGAATTCAAGCAAATTTTAGAAAATTAGCAACTATTTTGTGTAATAAAAGTGAATTTATTATACAAGTTTAAATGATTATTTTATTTGTTTATTGATTCCATAAATTCTTTAAATTTTTAAATTAATTTTATAATATTTACAAGTAATAAATAATAGAGGGAAAGATAATCAATTTATTATAAAGAGAAGATGAGAAATTTAATGTTTTCCTATCTAATCAATGATTGATGGTAATTAAAAAATTTATATACTTAACTTTATTAATGTCATTAAATTTAAAGAAATTTATCAAATATAATAAAATGAATTTTTTAATTCAACAGACATTTTGAAAGAAAAGTTAATGTTTTGAAACAAAGCATTTCTGCATAATTTAAATTAGAGAAATTCTTCTTTTTCAGATGTATTAGTTATTCTTATATTTACAATTATGTCAATACAACAATAAAAATTAAAAAGTATATGAAATATTAGAAAAAAATTATATTCATGTAGTAATAAATATGATTTTGCATATTATGAATTTTTAAAAATTGGATACCTTTTGATTTAAATTAATCGAATTAGTTTTTATAGAAGTTAATGTGTCCCAATATTTACTAAGCAAAAATATTAGTTTATTTGTCATACATAATTTTTGTTAATAATTTGATCCAAATTTTATATAAATATTAAAAGCAAGATTTAATCTTTGCCAAAGACAATATCTTTTTAGAGATGTAGTTTTTTTCAAATATAAAACAAAAACTAAAAGGGGTCTAGAAATGAACTTTTAAGAGAAATAAATCTCTGAAATTTGGTTCCTGCAGTGTTGGATGATTTGAGAAAATCATCCAGCACTGCAGGAATCAAACTTAATGAAAATTTAAAACAAAACATTGGAAATACATCCTAAATGTTTAAAAATTTGTAGTTTTCCTGTAAGATGGGACTAAAATTACTTATATGGTGTGAAGTATGTTCTTGACATGAGATTAGTCACTGACATATAAGTGCTTAGAACAAGTGGTCAATGCCATATGACACATTTTCAGAAAACTATTATTAAATGCAGTTTTAGTTTACTAATTTTTAATCAGTTTGCTATTGAGAGGAACCTTTCAGATTTCTTTCAATGGACAACTGGTGGGAATTTTAAATCATCTGATTTATTTCAAATGATTTAAAATGTTATTTTTATTTATGTTTATACTATACAGATATGAAATTATATTAAAATAATCTAAAATTTATAAATTATTTTATTTTTAACTTCCAAATTGAGATCTCTTGAAATAAAAGTTGTATCAATTCAAGTTGTTAAATTTGCTATCATATCCAGTTCTAAGAATATTATAATATAGGGATTCAATGTAAAAGTGTTAATTTTAATTAGCGATAAAGTTAATATTGTTTTAAAAACTCATATTACAATTAAAAGAAAAAAAATTAGGTATTGTTGCTTGCATATCACTGAGATTTATTCATATAATTTTGAATTATCGTATTTTACGCCATATCAGATGCACTCCTATTTCAGCACAGAATATCTAGGAAAAATTTAGTGTATTTAAGCTATCCCTTGTCTTTGGCAGTAGCCCCCAAAATTTTCTTACTGTATTCTGTTTTAAAAAATAACGATAATTTATTAATTAACTAAGTAATAATAACATGTTTAATTAAATAACACAATTTTAAGAGTTGGGCTAGATAGAGTTGGGTTATCTATAGCCTACGGAAGACCCATATGGGGAATTCATTAGCCTATGGATTCCAACTTCACCTGTAAGACACGTGCAATTTCTTGAGTCTTTTCTTTGAACGAAAGTTGCATCTTATATGCCGTAAAGTATGATAAATATTTTTGTAAGTTACTGGAAAAACCTTTTAGTGAAGATCTCAGTGGAGTTCTTTCCCAACCTCCGTCTCGTTGAGTTGGTTTCCGTGTGTATCACGATTCGATATAGTGATCCAGGTTCGATGGAAAGCACATCTCCACACTCAAATTGATAATATTTACAGTTTATTTAGAGATTCTATATGCAGAAAGTACAATTTCGAAAACATAATATAGCTTATATAGGATAACAATGCGTGGTGACTCACGTACTAGATTGGTTTCTGGGAACTGTTAAACTTTGGAGAGGCCTCAGTCAGCTCGTGGAGTTGGCTCAACTGCACGGTCCGTCCAGTCTCCGCACTAACCCGTCCCTGAGATGTTTACCAGAGGAGAACACTCTACGTTCAGCGGGTATTCCAAGTGCCTGAGACTACTGTATACCAGTCTCTTGTCCTTTTATCCTTCTCTCCCGTTCGCCCCGCAATTTAAGGGTTTTTGGACGGGGACTTCCGACCAATCACAACCCTTTCTTGCCCGAACAGCTCACACTCAGGTCCGCCATCGTCCGACGAGAATGAAGCTTACATAAATGTCCACCACTTGTTTACATTTAGTTGTTTACCATATGGCAAATGGTCTATCGTCTAACCACAGGTGGGTCCAATTGACAAAGTCAGCTCTTCCTTTGTTTTCCCTCTGTTTACAAGTCAACACCTTACAAGTGGTATTACCCGACCGCACGTGGGTCCTATTGACAAGGTCGCGCCTCTTTTGTTCCCACTCTGCTAAAAGGTCAATACTTTACACTTTTGTTACTTTATATCATTTTTCCATTGACCCTATCAATTCATAAATTAAATTTTTTAAATTGAAATTGAAAAATCATCTATGCAAACTGTTTTATGACTAAATTCTTTTAAGAATGGAATTTAATTCTGATATTCATAGAATGTAATTATTTTTTAATTTAAAACTGAAAAATGATACATAAAATGTAATTTAAATTTTATATTTGAGCATACATTGCATTTACCAATTAGTATATTGCTTTTAGTAATCATTTTAAAATGATTTTTGGGTTATTTTCCTAATACTTTCTTATTTTTTCAAAACTTGTATTTGTTTTTTGATAGAAGATAGTACTTAGTAGAAGTTTCTTTTTTCCATATCATTGCATAACAATGTAACTGGAGAACTACGCTCCTGCTCAAAATTATAAGAACATCACTACTTTTGTTGTTTTCTCTCTAACTATAGCTAAAAAGCATTTAACAAATGAATAGAATGTGAAGATTCTACAGAAGTACATTTCACTTTAATGCCACAATATTTATAGAGTTTACAACAGAACATAAAAAAGTAACAAAAATTAATTTTAAGACCTGTCCAAAATTAGTACAGGCAGATACAACGTGATTTTTTGCTTATAGGACCATCTTTCTTTTCGAGACACACAGCTAAGCATTTTGATATGTTTCGCACTAGTTTTGAAAAGTATTGTGGTGTAATACAGTCCTAAGCACCACATACTACATTTTAGAGATCATTAAGTAATAAAAACTACCTGCTGCACAAACCATTTTTCCCCAGACGTTTTTCATGATGTTCTGGTGATTTTGCAAGCAAGTTCATCAATTGAATGTTTCTTTCTGTCATCTTTTTTTTTCTTTTTTTAATTACGAGTGATATGACAGGCTGCATTATCTTGCTGAAAAAATACGGATGGTTTCTACATGGAGATAATTTTAAGCAAGTAACTACACATCTAATACATCTATATATTCTCTGAATTCATTCTTTTAGTCATAATTAAATCAGTATTTCCACTTGATAACAGTGCATTCCACACTATGATTGATCGATCTTTATGTTGCTGTCAGATCACCTGAATGTTTAGTTCTTTTCTTAAATTGTTCCTGTAGTTATGCGTGCCATCAGGGCCATCTAAGTTGAAACGTTTTTTAAATCACAAAACAATAAATTATTTTAATTAATGTTGTCCTCTATTCATTTGAGAATAGCAATTCTGCGTTTTTTATTTAATGTAGTTGGGGCGTGTTTAATCTTGTAATGTGTACGCAGATTGATGGAGGACAAGGGAAAATAATTTGACGAGAAACAGGAGTTGGCATTTTGGCAGAAATTTGGTTAGCAGACATCTTGCTGTTAGTTGTTAGTCTAAATATCTGTTAAAGCGTTTAGGAGTGTAGGGTGTCTAGTCTCGAGTTTTGGGAGTAGCAGCGCTTCCATCACATGGGAATAGTCCATGCTGTTTCTCATATAACTTGAGACTAAGCATCCAGATCGTTTCTTGGTAGTTCCGTCTTTTCTTTACGATACTTCAATTGCTCTTTTTAATCTGTTGATTTTTTGAGTAATGATGCGAATTGATTTTCTCCCTTCGTAAAGTTTTCAAAAGTTTACTTTCTGCCAACTATTTGCCACAAAGCACTTTGTTCTAGGACAGATTACTGTATTTCCAATGTATTTAAATTAGTTAGGCGGAGTATCAAATATTGTATCCTACTGAGAAAAACGAATTGTATCTGCTTGTTCTTATAATTTTGGACAAGTCTTAAAATTGATTTTTGTTACTTTTTATGTTCTGTTGCAAACTCTAAATATTGTGACATTAAAGTGAAATGTTACTTTTCTGTAGAACATTCATAAATGTTCCATTCATTTAATTAAGTGCATTTTAACTGTAGTTAGAGAAAACACAAAAACTGTCATGTTTTTATAACCTATTTTATCTGTAACTTTTCCGCCTTTTAAATGTACTCGTATGAAATGAATAATAATATTTAAAATAATATAATTATTAATAAAATAAAAGTTGTATTTTTTTCTTATATTAATGAGGAAGAAATATGATAAAATATTTAGTTTTAATTTAATTTGTAAAAATTATAATTAAATTGCATTAAATTAAATTTTCAGATTTCAAAAGATACGAATAGTTCTTGTTCTACGGAAAGATTGATTAAATTTGCAAGAAAATATGAAAGTATTCCTTCACTTTTTAAAAATGGAATTCCTGATTCGACGGATATCCTAGATCTGCAACAATTAAGAGAAAAAAGCAGAGATTTAGATCTTCCTCTGATATCTGCACTCTGTAACGACCGTTCTTTGTTGATGCTACCAAAGACAGTTCCAACTTGCAGTCGACAGCGCCATATGGGAACTAAGGATTTTAGAAGGTTTTCTTGTAGTTACATCAACTCTCTGCAATCCAGCCGGATGAAGAATCTGTCGGAGATGACGAAGTCATCTTTCGGTTCTCTCGATAGACCTGTTAGTTGGCATTTAGAGTCATCCGATTATTTGTGGTTGAAAGATTTAACTCGCTTTTCTGAAGGGAACAAGACAATTTTGAATCAAGATACTGGATCGAGCTTATCAAACGAATTTAATAATACGTATCCCTTTGCATCGTCTCATTTTCATTCGGAATTACATCATTCTCATACGACGTATTGTCAACATCCGTCTTCAATATTTGCATCATTTTCAACACTGAGCGACGATCATCTGAATAATGGTTATTTTGAGCACTTGAATAAAAATATACATGCTCAGAGGCAACTAATACCAAGAAAGCTATCTTTTGCTCAGGGTTGTAATGGAAGATTATATGCAAAAGAACAAGCCAGTTAATATTTATTCCAGAAAAATGCCATCATGTGATTTTGTTCATAAAAATATAGTAAATGTTCACAACATTGGTAAATTTAATATTGATGTATATATTAATATCTGTAAACGGACGACGATGAAATTCTTAATTTGTATATTAATACTGTTATGGTGTTTAGAAAGTGTTGTCATTTGATTATATTTTATTAAATTTTGTAAAAAATGTTGTTATATTGTATTCTTATTGAATAACTTGGGATATTTAATATTCCCTAATGTTAAAATATATATATTTTTTTCTTTTGTAAAATTAGGTGATGATGAACATTTGAAATTTATATCAATAAAATTGTTATTGTTATATCTAAAAAAATTATATATGTATACGAAAGAAACATTCGGATTAGTATTATTTAAATGTTAATATTTACTGTTAGTAAATGATAACACAAATGATTAAAACGATGCATACGAATATGGTGAACATATCGGTTAATTCGATTTTTTAAAATATTTATGTTCTGATTAAATATCCAGCGCATAAATATTTCAGCATTTATTTACTTTTGATTATAGTTGAAATAATTACATAATTTTGAATGCAAAGTTGTTCAAACTATGTTTTCCCTTCTTTCGAAACAAATGTTTATTCTACGTTGAATTTCATACTTCATCTATATTTATAGTTTCGACTATCAATCGATTCAGAAAATACTCTAATGGATAATCGCAATAAATTAAGTTGAGAAACTCTTTTTCAATTATAATCTTATGAATTTTAAATATAATAGTTATAAAAGCTTTGTAAGTTTAAGCATCCTTTGAAATGTTTCCCACTTGGCCTTTATTTTCTTATTTCTTAAATTATTTGGACTTATTTGGTCAGGTAGAGTGGTCGTTACCATTTCATTCGGAATTAGAATCTTACTCATTTGAATCTCAAAATATAAATACAGTGGAATCCGGTTATTATAATCGGGGATAATATGAATCGGTTATTGTTATCGTAAACAGTTCGTTCAAAAAACATTATATAAAATTAATTAAAAATAATCCATTATAATCAAATTTTGGCTATTGTTATCAATTGTGATAATTAATTTTTGGGACAAACGATAAGGATTCTTAGAAAATCCGTATTAAACGAATCTTCTTCGAAACTTACTTTTAACCAAAGCATACCTTTTATCTTACATAACGTAAGAAATACATACAAGAATTAGAATATACGTATACCGCAGATCTTTGGTCATTCCCAAAAGTGCATTTCAAGTATTCTGTTGAGTTAAAAACAGAAATGTAGCATGTATATGTAATGCTGTATTAAGTGTACAGTTTCTGATAAATACAAATCGAACTCATTCGTGCCGTAATTGTAATAAATTGAGTTCAGTAATGAAAATATTTTATCCTCTTTAATGTTACCAGCTGATTATTATTATTATTAAAAGTTCCAAAGTGATCATAATAGCGGATTCCATTGTATATATATAAGCTTTTATCCATGTAATTATTCTTAAAGAATTTTGTATTTTTTACTTTAGTTTATTTTGAAATAATGCACATTCTTCAGTAATTCGCGAATTGTTACGCCTTTTAGTATTAAAAAATCGAAATTCCTTAGTCGCATGTTTCATAAAGTGACGTCAACGTTTTCATACATTTTATTGGCTCTGTTATAAGCAGACGATTAGACTACTACTATTGGATACCGTTACAATCTTATTTTTATAACAGGAGACTGCTTGTACTTGTAACGTTATAATTATTCATAAAGTTATAACAGAAAATACCAATGCGTAAGCTCGCTGTTAAGAAAATTAAAATCTTGTATTAAAATTAAAAAGTATGAAATATGTATTTTAAACCTTTCATTCCATGAAACAATAAATTGTAAAACTGTTAAGAAAAATCAAATTGCCAACCAAAGTTTATTCGAAAACATTAAATGGAGCATACGATGAAGCATAATTAAAAAAGAGTGCAAAATTCAAAACTTGATTCATCAAATAACTTTAAAGACAAAAATGCAAATTTTGAGTGAGAAAATTCGTAGAAACATTATTATTATTACAATTCTCTCCACCTTGTGGACACTAGGAAGGCCTTTTTTGGCAAGTCCATTATGGATTCGACCCAGATCGTGAGGGACAGGACCCGACGTGTGTGGGTTGCCAGCTACCAAAAAGTTCCTGGGGTTTTTCAACCCATTCGGATTAACGGAAGGATGGCCGAGCGGTCAAGGTGGAAACCTACCAATTTGGGGGATCCAGGACCAAATCAGGATGGGTCGAAAAATTCCCAGGAATTTTTCGGGGATGGTCCCACCTAGTAAGTCGGCCCTGTCCCTCACCACTCGGCTATCCCATTGTCGACCTGGCCGAACTCATAATAGGCTTACTAAAGAGACTCTCTTAATTCGTACCGAGCAGAAAAAGTTTAAAAAGCCATTCGGATTCGGTCCTGGAGTGTAGGCCTGCTGCTTAACCGCTCGTCCATTCGACCATGAAATTAATTTTTTTAAAGAAACAATAAAAAATAATCACAATGAATAACGAATGACGATTATCATCATCATTATCCGACAAATGAGGCAATTTCATAAGGCGACAAGTTTTTTATGTTTGATATATTTAATATTGATGAGTACTTAGGTGTTATCAAATTTTTCTTATTATAGTTACGTTCTTTACAAAATACTCCGAATAAAGATTTGTAATCATAAAGTTATCATACGAGGCACTGTACATGCTTTCCGTAAGAAAAAATGTACAGTACCCAATATAGAACAACTATAAAGCCAAGCTAGCTTTACAAAAGATTTGCGATCAAACATAGACAATAAAATTCCATTAGCTAAAATTTCGTAAATTTTTATCAGATGTATTTAAATGAATAAATTTTTAATAAAAATATCGTAACTACAACAAAATAATTTATATTAGATATATTTTATTTTCTTTTAACTATAAACTGATCAACACGCAGAAATAGAAACTCCATATATTAGATAAATTGTCCTTACTTATAACCTCATTTAAGCATTCAATCTTCCTTTTAAGCTCTCACTCACCAAAACATCTATACAAACATTGGTTCTCTTACACTACAGAACCTGTAGTGTAAGAATGATCGTCTTGCATCATTCATATTTTTCCATTCTTCTCAATTCATACATTTATCTCTCCCTGTCCACACTCGATCCTACATTCATATTTCTTTTATCTCTCTTTCATAATCTATTGATAATCCTGTCGTTTCTTGTTTGGTGGGGTCAAGACCCCTCCACTCCCAGACCCTGCCATATTTTCCTTGTGCTTTTTTTGACGAATTTGTTTTTTCCGAGATGGGTTTAGTCCTATATCCAACTCCCAAGCTGGCCGATCAGGGAATCTCTGCTTTGTCTGGCTCCTCTCCTGTCCAATATGAGTGATCTTGCTGGCAGCAGCGCTGACATAGTTTGCTGGGTCTTAAAAGCCATTCACCATGAAAAGGTTAATGTCTTACTTAATATTTACCCAATCGATGAGTTAAATAGCATTAAATAAGATAAGAATTAGAACATCATGCAGTCTATCAGAATTGTGTTTATCGGAAAAAATGATTCCTCAAATGTCCGAAAATGTTCTTTAAATCTTCCATATCCGGTCCCAGTTTTGACTTTGAATTACCGAAGCTGGAACGAGAGTATTTCCTCTCTTTCTGTAGCAGTTCCTTTAATTTTGGAGATGGTCTTCCGATGAAGTTTGTTGCGATCGAATTGGATGTCCTCAGTCCCTATTTCGGTATCGATCTCCTGGTAGCGCATGTAAGCCAATTTCAGCCTGTATACATTGGATTTATCCCAATGGAGGTTAGTGATCCTACTCGATATGTCGAGGATGCTCTGGTGATAAAGAGCCCAGCAATTTTTGAATCCATTGGATGTTGGATATTTTCCTGGATATCTAAAGGAAATCCACTTGTTTCATCCTCCAGATCCCCCAGATGTTGAGAATACTCCGGGGAATCGGGCGGAAATCGACTGGCTACCGGGGATCTAGTCTTAACTATTTACGATAACATCGAAATTTCAGTATCCGGCTGAAACGAGGGACTTATATCGCACATTCGAAGTCATACCAAACAAATGCATTAGCTAATATCTAGACTTTCGTAAGCTTATACGGTTCGATGTACGAATGAGCAAAGTAAGTTTCTCGTTAGATGCCAAAAGTTTGGTTTTACCGAAAGGATCTGGTCTAAGGATCTGGGGGCTTAGTCTAAACTAGACCCCCAGATCCTTAGAACGCTCTGTGGGATGATCATCTATCTGTTTATCTGTTTACTCCACTTTCTGTACACTTCCTTTTTTGCTTGTAGTTCTTTGTCTAAATATCCTAGTCCAACAAATCCTCCTCTTCACTCATTTTTTTATTAAAAAATTGCAAAAGCGTTTTAGGAATTAAGCTGCCTATCGCAAAATTCGCAATTTGTGAGAATTATATTTTATTTGGTGATTATAATGGCGAATAGCCAGAGTGCAGTCCAGAAAAAAAAAAAAACAGTCACGCAGTGAAAAAGAGTATCACAGAACATGAATCTGTCTTACAAGTTAGTCCGATATAATTTTACTGTTAATTCATAAACAAAAATAAAGTTGTTTGAGAAACTCAGTCATAAAGCTCTGCATTTTTTATACTGTCGGCTGTTCTTTCATTTCTGGTTGGTACAAAAAGTTATAGTAAGCGAAAAAGTAACCTGGCGAATAGGTTGGCAATTGCTATAAAAAGCCAGGGTGACCCTTGGGTTTATAAAACAAACAAACGCACTTCTATAACAATCGAAAACACAAGTAGGCTAATATTGACTAGCACTGACAATAAACTATTCGTTCTTGAAAAAAAAATACGAATTTTTTATTAGAAATTTCACTTTTTCGCTTCTCTTTGCGTTTATAGAAAGGATTTAGAATATTTTCAAACTTGCAGTTCAAGAAATTCTTTTGTCTTTTCAGGAAGGACAAAACTCTTATACTTCCACTTATTCATTTATAGAAATTAATCCAGATTATTAATAAATTTTATAATGAAACATTTCGTCAGAAAGCCTAACTTTAATTTTCTAGGGTAAATAATAATTACCCTTTATTGTGAATGTTTTAGATCAATAATTTTTCATAAATACTGCCAGTATTAACATCCAAGTTTGTGTTATTAATGAATTTCGGGAGCCTCCTAGATGGCCTATCGCTCTGGGAACTCGGGTTCAAACCTGAAAAATTCCTGTCGAAAAACGCCAGGAATTTTTCGGGTGGTTTGTCCCGGGTATGTCGTTTTCCGTCCTTTATTCAGCCACTCAGTTGTGGAACCTGGGCGAACCTACGATAGACTTAATTTAAGAGCCTTCTTAGTGCCCTTAGGACGGAGAGAGTCAAAAATAACAAAAATAAATAAATAAGCATGAAAACACAATTTATATAAAACTTAATTGATTTTAATTTAGCAGAATAATTTTACAGTACACTAATATACAATTTACAAGGAAAAATCTTTGGTTGATCGTTTCCGTTACTAGTTTCTTTTGATTTGAAAAAAGGATTTTTTAAAACCCAATTTTATATCAGTTTATTTATTTATTTTTTCAAATCTTATCAATTGTTCTTTTATCCACATAGGTCTTTTTAATATATCCAGTTTAATTACCTTGTTTTAATACAAATTCGTGTTAAATAATCGAATACTATCTGTAAAAAAAAAGGACTGAAGAGGGGTTAATACAACCCGAAATCCATTTCTGAATACACTTAGATTTTACAAATATGTGAGCCGTTCACAGCCGGGCACACGTATTTGTAAAATCTAAGTGACTCGTACAACATGGAATTCATATAAACGGAAAAATCAACAGTGTTATGGGGGTCGACTGTATTTGCTTGAAAGATTATCAATTTTTTCGTTCAAAATAAAAATTTACAAATTTCTACTTTTGGTATTGAATTATTTAACACATTCCTAAAGAGACAATTGCGTTAAACTAAACATCACACTCATTGACAAACACAATAAAATCACATACATTATAGACATCCATTTCAAATACTCACATTGTACGAAACACGTGTACTGAAAAAATCAGCAAGTAAACAGAATTCGCCCAGGGAATAAGGCATCTGTGGAGTAGGTGCTTATTTAATGGATAGGGTACTTATTTACTGTACCTGTCGTTCTCTCCTCAATAGTTGTCATACCACACACTACACAAAAGTCTGGGGACATTACAGTTGAATAGAAACAAATGCATTACAGTACAGAAGACCACTATATTGAATACGTCATATTGTTAGGACATTCCTGAATACAGATAACACACACTGACACATTTATTTAATTTTTGTTCTTTTTTTTAACTCTCCGTCCTGTGGGCACTAAGAGGGCCTCTTTTAGCAGGCCTATTATGGGTTCGGCCAGGCCCACGATGAGGCGACCGGGTGGTAAGGGACGGGGCCCGACATATCCGGTCTTATCACGCCCCCGAAAAATTCTTGGGGATTTTTTCGATCCGTCCGGATTTGATTCCGGGTTACCCAGAGCGGTAGGTTGCCACCTTCATCGCTCGGCCATCCGACGTTTTGTTTTGGTTGCTATGCATCGACTCTAGTCCGGCATAGTACACAGCAACCGATGTCAACCGAGTATAACCTACTACACCCAACATAATAATAATATTCCAAACACTCATAACATGAAAAATGCACACACTGAAAAAATACACAAATACATTCTACTTGCCCAAAAAATAAGGCATCTGTGCAGGATGGATAGGATATTTATTGTGCATATGGCCCTTCTATTCCACTGGTGTTATATCACATACACTACACAAAAGCCTAGAAACGTTAAACTTTAATAAAAACATATACTGTACTGTACAGTACATGGTACTACAGATAGTCTCAATATTGAACACGTCACATTGTTAGGAAGTTTCTAGATGTTGACACATACCAATAACACAGCTTAATGTTACTCTTGTTTAGATAGCTATACTCTAGTCCGGCATAGCACTTGATGACAGTACGACTTTTGCAACATAATAATAATAATTCAGTTTTAACCATTCAAACAGAACGTACAGTATTGTACAGTACCTATGTACAATATCTATTGTCTTTTAGGGATTCTGCATCATAATCTTCATGACTCCACTGAAAACACCTGTTGCATCGAATACGTTTTTCTCCGTGCTTATCAACGGAATAAGGCCAGAAACTTACTATAAATGACATCGAGTATCTTCTTCATTACTTGATTCGTTTTTTTATCCGGTTCGGAAGTGTCCGAATTATTAGACGTTGTGTCTCCACAGCTTTCCGAGCTGCTTTTGGCTTGAATTTTTGTTCGGATTTTTCGTGTTCGTCAGGTTTTTTATTGTTCTTATTGATTGCATTCCGCTCAGTATTTTGTCCAGTGATTGTTGTATTGAATTTTCAAGAGGCGAAGGCGTCACTATCGCCGCTGATCCACGGCGAGTCGATAGGCTAGGCAAATTGATTTACGGGGGACAGTATTACATCGGTCAGTAGCACAGTGGCTTACTTTCAGTTATGTCGGCTTCTCCAATGGAGACTAGGATAGACTTTCCAATGTTCATAATAAATGTCATTTTCTATATGATATTGTGAATACAAAAATAATGATATTATACACAAATGGAAAAATTTAATATGACTACTTGCATACACGAAACACATTTCTCTGGCTGATAAACGTTAAGTAAAATGGAAGTCTGTTAAATACAGAGTAGACTACAGTTAAACGTACTCTCCATCACTATAAACCTACTCATCTTCGAAATATGCCGAATTTTGTCTTGTTGATAAACTTCTCTGTCACTCGAATTAACCAATATTTCGTGAAAAATATCGGCACATCAGCGAATGGACTTTTACGTTGCTGCGGGCAGACAATGCTTCACAGGAACACCACTCACTTGGCAGGTGACAGTACTGGGTAGTGAGTTGGAAGTGGGTGCGATATTAGGAACAGGGATGATATTTGGGTCCGCTATCTTTCTTGGGATTATAACTGGATTCGGGCTTTGATTATTATTATGAAATTGAAATTAGAATGATGTTAAATTGAATTAATAATAAATTAAATAAATAGAAATTAACAATTAAAAATAAAATTAACTGTACATGAATATTGTAATACAAACCAGGGCTGTGGAGTCGAAGTCGGAAAAAATGTGTCGACTCTGGAATTTTAAATTCATTTAAAAAAAAAACTAAGTTAAAAGAAAATTTATTTTATATTTAATAATTTTTAAAAATGTTTTTATATTTTGTTACAATTCATTTATTTTAAATACAAAATGCAACAATTTAATTTATTAAATATGTATCAATAGTTTTCTTTGTAGTATTTGTGTTTAGCAGTTAATTTTGACTCAATTGAATTTGAATATTTTTGATTCATTCCTTTCTTATTCCCTCTCTAAATAAGTACTCTATTTTTCTGAATGAGCCAGACTAATTGATCAGAATACTGTATATATTTTTCCTTTCTGAACAAGGGGCTGAAGTAGCTATATCGCACACTTTTTAATTGAACTAACTCTTCTGAAAAGATGAAATTGAAGTGCAAAATCTGTAGAATAAAGATATGTAGATGTAAAATTTTATCGCTCCCCTTTTTTCTCTTATTAAATATTTGTTAAAATTATTTTTTTTATACAAATAAATATTAATGTAAGTTAAATATTAAAAATACTAACTATAAAAGTATTTGGGTAAATGCCCGGGGCTCCTTTTAGAGTTCAGAGTAGGGTAACCCCCTATGAGCGCCTGTGTCCCCCATGAAATGACTCGGTATTTAATTTCACCGGAGTCTGGAGTCGGAGTCGGCATACTAAAATTATCAGGAGTCGGAGTCGAGCGTCATTTTGGTGAAGATGAATAAATAGAGGACCAAGAAATTGGAAAAGGAAGAATTCGCTCATTCTTAAGTCGCGGATTATGGACGGGTGATATTAATAAGAGTACGATATCAATAATCACTAGACACTACGATATTTTTACGTGAAGATATATCTCTTGCGTATTCAACGGCGCTACGCCACTGCGGATTCAAAACAAGCAGCGGATAGCTAAATAAATATAAAAGGAATGGAACAGTTTTGAATAAAATCTGTGATGAAAATGCAGAAGTGAGAGAGGATTGAACAAAGTGGTAGAAAAATTTATTAGAGGTCGTACAGAACTATAACTTGGATGACGTTTTCAACACAAACGAAATGGGCTTGTTTTTTAAATATCTGTCAGACAAAACAATGTCTAGCAGACATTTAAAGCAAAGGTGATTCATGTCACGGAGAGGTAAGAAAAGCAAAGAACGTGTAACTTTTTTTTTTTTGAGAACGAACATGACAGGTAATGAAAAACCAATATCATCATTAATTGAAAAATCTTTAAAACCTTGATGTTTTCACAATGTCAAGTTTTAGCTATACAAGATGCAGCAATTAAGAAAGTGTGGAACACATCAGCGATTTTTCTAACTGATGAAAAAGTTAGAAATATTTTTATTGACAATTACAGTTTATTCAACGACTCCCATTTTGGAATCGTTGAATTACCACCAAATACAACTTCCAGATTGAAATCTTTAGATCTGGAAATCATTCAAACTTTAAACTACGATCTGGAAAGCTTGTCATACAAAAGATGAAGCATATTTTTGAAGTTGCATCACATGATATTTTAGTAAACTTGTTAGATGTAATATGAATGATTAATTAACAAAGATTGGAATGGAGTTCCACAAAGTACCGTTGCAAATTGTTTCACAAATTCAGATTTCAGTCAATCTCTGAATAAATCAGAATTTCCACCAGAATTTGTAGATTATATTGAAAAAGACTGGATCGATTTCGTTGCAACAACGAGTGATGAAAAAGTGTCATTCGAAGATTTTGTCAACATTGACAATGACCTAGCTATCTGTGGATATATATTCGAAGACAACATCATTGTTGAAGTATAGAACCAAGCGCAGAAAAACAATAGCAAGGAAGAAATAAATTCTGTCAAGGACAAATATTCTTATAGGAAAGCCGCAGTCTTTTTTTCACTTAACTGCATAATACATAATACAATAACTCTTTCAATCTACAATGTACTGTATATAATATATCTGATGGTAGTTTTTATAAATATAAACTACAATTTATGACGACATTGTAATAGAACAAATACAAGATAAAAGTTAAAACAATTTTTATAAAATGCTAATTTAAAGAAAATAATCTCCACTATTATACAACAAAAATCTTTTCCTTAAAGAGCATAAATTGATCTTCCAAATAATAAAAGTAAAGCTATAATTGTTATTTTATAACATCAATTGTTCTTTTATAACAAAATTTTCTTCCTAAATTTCAATATTAAAACAAATAATTGTCAATACATTAAATTAAAAGTATCTGGAAAGTTTGCATTGATAGACTCGGTTTTAAAATGGAAAAGTTCAAAATATTTTTTTTTCATCGCGGTAAATTCAAAAAATAACTTCGTTAAGATACAGTACTTCGAAATAATAATTCGATTAAAACAGATAAGACAGTATATGTATTTGTGATTTGTGGATTGAGATAGCTTAAAATGATCATTACAGAAAACGTTTCAGCAGACCAAGCCCTAATTTTTTACATATTCGAAATAATGGAAGATCTTTCTGATACACAGCTAGAAAAATTTTGGAGTGAATCCAATACATTGATTATGAGTGAAAAACACAGCGAATTAAAGTTAAATTTTTTCTGGATAAAGTTAAAAACGAAAACTAATAATACGCCAAACATTACTGAATTTACAATAATACATACTGTAAAATCTACAAAACCCCGCACCAACACAGTTAATTTAAGCAATGTCTACTAATTTATATACGCTTATAAATATTTTTTCTTCAGTTTGTCAAATATAAATTTTAAAAAAGAGGTAAAATTACATTAAATCTAGTTTTATACAAAAAAAAAAAAAATACTTATTTATAATGAATGCCGTAGAAACAATTTTTCCTTTAATCGTTGTTATACTAAATCTTAACACTTGATAAAATTTATAATGAATTATTGTATCTTTAAAAATTATTTCCACATACTATAATTGAATTTAATTTATTGAACAGCAGTAAGGAATTATTCTACATACTTTAAAGTAATAATAAAGATTCTTTTTAAAGATGGATATTAAAAAATAAAATTTATTTGTGTATTTATATATTTTTATATAATATACTCATATATTAATATTTTATATATCATATA